CGATAAGATTAGCTTCCCGTATCATAATGTATTATCTTTAATTTGGTGGAGAAGTTTGATATGCATTCTAGACTCATGTGACTTTAATTACTCTTTAGTACTAACAAATATTCATAGTATATCCTTCTCATTCGTAAATTTAGCATTTATGAATTTGTAATTTATAGTTTATTACAATATCTCCTTTGTTCTTGTATTTTATATACTATAACATGTTAATGTTTTTTATTGATTATGAATTTCTTAAGTATCTTAGTGAGATCTTTTTTTTTCTTTTTTTTTCTTGACTTCAAAATTGTATTCTTCCTCATTATTAGATAAGTTTTTATTTCTTAATGATTCAGTTTTTGAGAATTTTAGAAGTTTCTTCTCAAGATTATTAATCTTTTTATAAATTTTATTGACAATTATGTTAGCTTTAAAATTGTCAATACAAACATTTACTCATAAATCATCTTCAAACCCTATTTACTTTACTCAGTTAGAAAGTCTTTGGAACACTTTCCATAGTATTTGAATTTTCATATGTAATATTCAATACTTTTTTTTACTTTTTTATTTGACATGCTTGAGATGTTTGAAATGCTTAGATATAGTTCTACTAGGTTATTATTTTTTAAAAATCTTTTTATTATGTTTATGAATTTAAGTTTTTCATTAAGGTTCTAGTACTATTTGAATGCTTTGCATTTAAAAGTGAAAGGGAATAAAAACTTTTCATTAGCTTATTATTGATTAACTTTGATGATTAAATTGAATTATTAAAGATATCTTTCAGTATCTTTCATTTTGCTACTAATGAAGATTGCATAAGTGATCATATTACCATAAAGTGTTGTTAGGTTGATGAGAGCTATTTCTTTAGCTTCAATTTATATTTACTTTTATGATAATAGTGGATATGATTGGAAATTATCAATACTATATCCTTTATAATATATAGTTTCTAGTGGTAAGTCTTATTTTAAATCTTCTAAATCTTGTTTTGTTAATTTGATTTGAAATGAATTGTTTTTATTTAAGTATTTATTTTCTCAAGAATTTTTTAAGTTGTTTATCTAGATTATTATTCTTCTTAGAAATTTCGTCAACAATGATATTAATTTTCAAGTTGTTATTAACACTTAACATTATGACCATTTGTTGATAGAACTTCTTTAAACTTTATACATACCATATATAATTATGTTACTTGATTAATAAATCTTTATAGTGCTTTACATAGTATATGAATATTTATATATAATTATTAATGCCTTCTTTAGCCTTTTTGGATACTTTTAAGGTGTTTAAAATGTTTAACTATAGTTATTTTATATTAGTATTTTTCTTTGAATCTTTTTATTTTGTCACTGAAATTGAGTTTTTTGTCAAGGTTGTAGCACCATTTGAGTGCTTTGCTTTTGAAAGTGAATAAGAATAAAGTTTTTTATTATCTTGTTACTGATTAATTTTAATGATCAAGTTAAATTTTTAGAGATGTTTATTGGCACTTTTAGTTTTTTGCTAGTGAAAATAAAATAAATGATTATGTTGTCATACAGTGTTTTGAGTTGATAAAAGCTATTTCCTTACTTTTAGTTTAAAATTATGTTTCTGATGGTTGTATATGATTTAAAATTATTGGTGTAATTTTAAGTCTTTAGTGATGGAAAGTCTTATTCTAAAGCTTCTATTTTTTATTTTATTGAGTTTTTGATTTTAGTTATATTATTTTGATATGATTCACCAACTTATGCAGTTTAATTTTTTTTGCTGTAGTTGTTAATGATGTTATTAAAGATTGTTTCTAGTTAAGGATTATAAACCTTACTCCCCTTCAAAGATGTCAATGTCCTCATTGAACTTTACTGAGCCAAAGTGAACTAACACCTCCAATCCGCACTACTAATCCTTCCATTATATAAACGTATATAGATGCCTAATACTACGTATAATTTTAAATTTAGAGGTAAAAATATATCTTGCTTAAAGGTATATTATATTTTTTAAGTAGCCATTAATTAATGGGAATTAAACTTATGCTATTTACTCCGATACCATATATAGCACACTCTATCTTTCTCTCCTTAATCCAATTAAAAAATGGGTAATTATTTGATGAAAAAGCTCTTAGTGGCTTTTTTATCCTTATTTATCCCCAAGGTTCCAAAGATCCACGGTGATAGTAAATCTTAATTTTATCCTATGATCACATGTGCTACAAAAATCCTAATGAACTAGTTGCAATTCCACATACAACTACCAAATGCTCAAACCAACCTTGAAGCTATAACTTTGAAGCAAAGTAAAGAACTTTGACAACATACATCCTATGTTTAAATATGCATATTGTTAATCTTTTGAAACCACTATTAATTTGGACTCATGACTATAAATAGAACATACCTCTACATCTTTTCATCAGTTAACATCCAAGACACATATTAATTTAGACTTATAACTTTTGTTCTTACCTAACACTATACATAAGAGATCAAACTCACTCAATTTGTTCTTTATATCCTCTATATCCCCTCTTTAAGGGAAAAAAAGTTTTGAAGCATTAACTTCATTTAGAGTTATTTACCATTTATATTCAGCCTCACTCAATTATTGCATTCATTTAGCCTTATTATGTTAAGGTAAAATGTTTCATTTGGACTCATTATGCTCATCCTCACTCCACAATCCATGTCATCTATCTTTATTGCACTACCATATTTGCTTGTCTTCATTGCATTGTTGAGGTTGAACTCCTATTTGTCCCCTTTATCCTCTCCTTCGAAAAAAAATAAGTTTGAAATGTCAAAAGTAAAAAGGAGAAAGCAAGAAAAAAGATAAAGGAGCATTAGAAGAGGAATTTTTAAATAATTGTCAAAATAAAAATAAGGAAAAAAGAAAGAAATATGTTCAAAACTTGGAGAACAAAGGATTTACTATGATAAAATTTTTTAGTTAACATGAGATAAATAAAAGATTCACACTGTTTAACCATATTTAACATTTAAAACAGGAAAATCAATAGAAAAATTTACACTCTCAAGGAAATATATAACCTCTTAGTAATAATAATAAAACAAAAGCTCTCAATAGTATTTACAATTGGGGATATGCACTAAATTTGAAAATATATGACGATCAAAATAAGTAAATTGATATATTTTTTCTTTGTTACATGTTTTTTTTTTTGTCTTATCTCTTATATATTCTATATCTTTAAAAAATCATTACTTTTTTCATTTTAAAATAAGTGAAGTGAATTTTCAAAGCAGAATTTACCTACTAGGGTTTTGGCTTACTTGTATCAATGGCGATGGCGTCTTGGAGCCCCAGCTCTGTGCGGTGCTCTCCCTTGCCGCCTAAGCGATTGCGGCATCCGGTCGCCTCGGTGATGGAGTGCAAGGTGCTGCATTGCCCTCGATCGATCATATCTCTGGCATTTTGTGAGTTTTCTCGGCGGTGCTTGTGTCTTCAGATCCGGGAAAAGCTTGGAGCAGACAATGTTGTGGTCAAGGATGCGTATGGCGATGGAGAGTATCTGAGGTGCGGATTTCGTTAATTTCCCGTGGAATCTTGTTGTTTACATTTTCCTGTTCGTTCTTTTCTTTCTGACAGCATCAGCGTCGTTGCATCGGTGTTCCAGGGAAAATCGAAGATAGATCGCCAGAAGATGGTCTACAAAGCTGTGTGGGATGAAGTGAAATATCAGGAGCACGTTATTGAGCAAATCAGGATGGAGACTCCTGAAGAAGCGTCGGGTAAACTGAACTCCATACAAGGCTTGAGATTGATCAATTTCTTGGCTTTTTTATTGTTCTTTTTGACAGGATTGGAGCAGACACATCTCTAAATCCAGGCAAGTGTTCACATCCTTGCAACATTGTGTAGATTTTTCCTTTTCTCTTTCAGGATATATGAAAGACTTAGTTCCCCCGTTGTGTGTAAAAGTACCTTGTACCCTGGCTGCCGCGGCTGCAATGTCAAATGAATCAACAAAAGCAACTTTTGTTCGCTGCCGCGCGGTATTTAGTATTTTTATTCTTATCACATTGCATGTGTTTGGCAAGCTTTAACATGTCTTTGTCGAATTTTCTTGGCATGTGAGCGGGATGTGATCTGCGAAGATCTTTTGCAAGGTGTACGACAGCGCAGTAAGAATTTTGGACCTTAGCTTAAATAGGTGTCTTATTAATCACGGTCATTAGTCAGAACACTAGTTTGAGCGATGCCATTGGAAATCACGTTCGCAACTTTTGCAGGAAAAAAAAACAAAAAAAATAATAACTCATCTCCAAGAGCCTATAGTCTGTACAGCAGAATCCAAACTTGTGCAGTCGGCAAGGTACTCGCGCAATATGTGGAGTGAATTTTTATATTTCCTCACAGCCTCTGCATTTGTAGGAGCAAGATCGCGAAAACATGAAAGACTGCCGACGAGAAGCTCGCTACACTGCTGCTAGCAGGCAAACCGGCTGGAGATCCACCCCGTGTCGAGGACGAAAGTGAACTGCAAGGTGCTAATCCCAAGGCATCCGGGACGTCACTCACCATCGAGTGCTCGTAGCACAGTCCTGTGTTATTCCTGACGATGAGATTGCGTCCAAGCCTTCCGACTAAACTCGAAGTGAATGGAACCGGGCCGAACAAGGAGTTTGCGCTGAGATTCATGTGGTAGAGGTTCGGCAGCGTGCCGATGTTGGAAGGGATCCGTCCGGAGAACTGGTTGCCGTCGAGAGACAGGGAATTGAGCTTCTGCAACGCACCGATAGACGCTGGTATTGGTCCAGCGTAGCGTGAATTGGAGAGACCGACTGCGATTAAGTTCCCGAGACTGTCCCAGATGTTCGGAAGCTCCGCACCGATGAGATTGCTTCCGAGAAACAGATACTGGAGGCTGGCGAGCTGTCCCAACTTGTCCGGAAGACGGCCGCTGAGATTGTTATAGCTCAAGTCGAGGAACTGGAGAGCCTGGAGGTTGCAGATATCTTCAGCAATTGGACCCTGTAGCCGGTTGTGACTCAAGTCCATCTTCTGGAGCTCCGCAAGCGAATACAGCTGAGACGGGATCTCTCCGGTAAGCTTGTTCTCACTCAAGTCGAGTATGACGAGACTCGTCAGGCCGCCAATGGTTCGAGGGACGCGACCAGCGAGACGATTGTGACTAAGAACCAGCTGCCTCAGAGTTTGCAAGTTGCCTACCTCCGCTGGGATCGCTCCTTCCAGACTGTTCTCCGCGAGGACGAGCCTCTCCAAGCTGGTGAGATTTCCCAGTTCCACGGGGATGGTGCCTACGAGAGAAGGATTGTTCTGGAAAGTGAGGTGCTGGAGCGTGTCCTTGAGCTGGATTATCTCCGGGGGTATGGACACAGGCGAGTGGACGAAGCACTTGTAGAAGAAGAGCTTCTTGAGGTGCTTGAATCTGAAAATTGCGGGGTGGATGGAGGCGTTGAAGCTGCATGGAGGATTGTTGACGTAGTCGGACACCCAGCCGAGGTTGAGCTCCACGACGTGGTAGACGTTGTTGGAGTCGATGTCGCAGGCTATGCCGTGGGGGCCTCCGGTGCAGGGATCGCCTGGGAACATCCCCTTCCAATCAATCTCGTAGTTGATTCCCTGCAAGACTTGGAAGACGGCCGCTGCTTCGACTGGATCTGTGACCGGCTCCTCCTGAGCGTTCATCTGCTGCGACCGAGACAAGACTACGAGGCAGAAGCTCAAGAGCAGGAGGAAGAGCGAAGACGAGGAGGAGGAAACGAAAGCCGCCGCCGCCATGGTTTGTGGAAGTTCTCCAGGAAGGAGAAAGAGGTGCAACCTTATAAGAGAAGATGGCTGCACACACAGTGGATGGTGGGTGAATGAGCTCTCTCAAATAGTATGCGGAACTCACAGGGATTGGTAACCGGACCGGCCAACTGCTTTCACAGGATGGAACTTTGCGGGCAGCTAAAGACAATGATTAGCCGCTGCGGCTCATTTATCTCAAAATGGCCAGACATCCTCGCTCCAAACAGGAGCAAAAGGTGGGACGAAGCGCCATTTATACATGCGCAGCTGAGTGGAAGCTAGAGGCGATATCGGAATGTCAATGCAGAGCAGGAAACAGAACGGGCAAAGTTAGAAGAAAAAAAAGGATGGGCAGCAGAAGCAAGAAACAAAAATCATCAACCGGGAAGCGGAAGTAGAAGTGGGGCTACAGTAAATGACAACAGAACATCGCTGTGATGCAACTAAAGACAGGCACAGGGGAAGGCAGGCTTTACGCTCAGTCTGGGATTTATATACATATGTGGATCATGGAGGCGGCAGGCACAGTGAGGATCAGAATGGAGGCGGTCCTTTGTGCTGATAAAAGTCCAAACCACTCGAGAGGGAGCATCTACAGATTTGCGACAAACACTTCACAAAGAGGAGCGGGAACAGGAACAAGCTTCATATGGGACCTGTTCATCGGCCAGTGGCGAGAGCATTATTTGCGGTGGATGAAGGTAACAAAGCGCCTGACTCTCTTGGTCCCCCTTCTCCCTCTTAACCCAGCCAGCCAACCAGCCAGCCAGCCCGCCAGCCGAGCCTTATAGCAAGCCAGTCACTCCTTTTCGAGCTCGGCTTCTTCTTAGCCCTGCTGTCCCCACATTTGCTTTCGTCTCTTCTCTCTTTCTTTCTCTTTCACCTTAGCACTTGCCAACATCGTCCCGTACAGAAAGGCATGGTGCTCGTGCCTTTTCCCTGTGTGGCCCGCATCGCTCATTCCATCGCTAAAACCGCTGCATCTTTGGCAGCAAGTGTGCAGCCTTCTCCTGAGATCTCCTTCTCGCTCTTCGCACTTGTCGAGCTAACGAACTTGTCTCGCTAACGTGAAAGTGCAGGAGGGATAAATATATAGGGGGAACTATAGGCGGAAAACAGAAGGGAAGCCAGAGAAGTACATGACAAGAGGACGACTGCTCAGTGAGCCGAGCAGCCCAAGTCTGAAATCATTGAACAGCGCTTGGGGACAAAGCGGAGTCTGGAGCTAGCGGCCGCGGGGAAGATGGGAAGGGACAGGTATTTCTCATAAACCTTCAAGACTTTCTTGATCACACTTACAACAAGGAAAGCGTTTGCAAGGAAGAAAGGAAGGAAGAAGCTATAAAGTGTTGGCCGTTTCAGACTGGGCGTGATCAGCCATTTGAGGTAAAACAATTTGCAGTGCAGTGTGAAGCCAAGGGCGAAACAACACTTACGAGGGACACAACAAAGTTTAGAAGATAAACAAGAAAAAGAAACGAGAGCGAGTGAAGGTATGTAATGCTGCTAGCGGTGTGGTGGCTGATATATGGTGGAAGCTTATTGCCAGGATAAAGAGCACAGAGCATTGACAGGCGTGCATTGGAATGCGGACAGCAACTTCCGTAAAAAGGTATGGTGGCGATATTGTTTACATTGTCAGCTGTTTGTGACCATCGGTGGCGGTGGATGCAACACACATCCCCCTTGAAACAGGCTGCCAAGGGCACATGAAGCCGTACCTTGTGCTTTGAGGTTGAGCGACATGCTCTCTCCAATTGCTGCTGCCAACATTGCACTTGTCCATTTATTAACTGGTCCCGCGGCTGCAGAATCACGCAAATTGTTCGCAAAACCATCCATCAAGAGGTATTAAGATCGACTTGAAGCGTAGAGTTTCGTTTGGTGTGGCTGTGGTACCATGTACAGGTGTGATTAGCTCGGACGTTACAAGAAAAATGCGCTGGCTTTCATTCGCGATTGTGCAAAGTACTGAGAAAAGTTGCACTGCTATATAGTGAGTGATTGATCATTCTTCCTCGTCTAAACCAAGTTGCAGGACTAAAAACTATCTAGTATGTGCGAGGTACATGCCTGTACGCGTCTGGAGGGACATCGCAAACTGCAGCAGGCCGGCCATACAGCCAGGAGGTTTACTTAACAAACCCGAGGTTTGTCTTGAGAACTTTGAAAACCATGATGCAAACTCGAGCTTTGTCTTTGTTGACATTGAAAACTCTCAGCAGCGGGGCAGCGGCGGCTCTCGAGCGACTCCGTTTTCGTGTCAAAACGGGCTCCCCAAAGGTAACGGACGGAAGTTACCTTGCATCAATTTCGTCTCGTAAATGCAGCGATAGACGACTTGCCTCGCTCGCTCGCTAGCAAACTCTTGCACTGTGAAGGAAACGAGCGCGTCGACAACGACGAGTGCACCATACTTAATGTCACCGTCTCAAGATCATCTCTCAAGATCATCGTTTTTCCTAATTCCAGGTTTGATATGCTAGCTATTGCCATAACAAATCTGGACCACGGTATTCCATCTAGTGCAGGACATACAGGAGCGATTCGTGGTCCCCACTGTAACGGATGCTCGTCATAAACATCAGCGCTGCTGCGAGGAGGAAACACACAGCCAGCCTCCGGGTGAGGTGAGAGAGCCTACTTTTCTCCTTCCTCCTAGTCTTGCATTTCTCTTAGTAGCTACACTTGCAGACTTGCAGTGGTGTGTGTGTGTGTGTGTGTGGATGATTCTGTTGCATGTCGTTGACGTTTGCTGTGAGAGAGCTGGGGACTGTTACGGGGTTGCTGTCGTACGTCAGAGATCTCGTTTTGACTTTAATTGCCTTCTTTGCATGGTTGATGAGTGAGTTGGTTCCTTTGATTGGTGGTGTTGCTTGTGAAGGCTGGCTCCGTTAAGAAGCTGCAAAGTTTTCTTGATTGGGCAAGGATGCGCGCTCCTTAATCGCGCTGCTGCCGGTGTTTTGATGTGCAACAGGGACGTCCACTCGCCAACAGTGGAAAGGCCGGTTGCTGTCAAGTTATTTTGAGTACGTCTCCAAGGTTCATACGCGCAGGGATTGTAAGCCTCAATCGCGAGCGGAGCGAGATGGAAAGAGCAGCTCCGAAAGAGAGTGAGAGAAAGAGAGGGAGATGTGTAAAGAGGTAAGCTTTTTAAGTTCTTGCAATCAATGCCGGGCTCTCAGAGTTATTGCCAACAGCTGTCCGGTGAACCCCGTTTGTGGGATTCAACAGCGCAGACAGCGACGGAGGGGTGAGCCGGGGATGAGGAAAAACAAACATTTAAATTTAGCGGAAGGAAGGAGATGTCGCTGAGAAGCGAAAGAAACGAGCGAGCAAAGCGCGCAACTAAGCAGTGAATGCGGCTGTGAAAGGGAAGGATACCATTTACAGAAAGGAAGAAGATTTCTCGCGTACGAGTTGGAGGGCGATTCAAATCATTGGCACCATTCGGACAAACCATGATTGTCGATGGACACTTGTCCCGACGAGCGACGAACTTCCTCGTACGTATGTTCTTCCTTTTGCTTTCTCGGATCCACAACCAACTCGGGTACTCACGAACGATATGATATGATTTGCAGATTGGTTTTCGCAGCTACGTACGCGTCCCGAATCTGCCTAAGAAGCTACCAATCCAGCCATGGTTTATGCGTGAGTGTCTTGTAGGTAGCTCATACTTACGCTTCCTCGCTTCATTCATCGTCATTCATAACAGGCTCATGATACACACACAGCTCTTTCCTTTGACTGCTCGTGAGCATGCATGATCATTCGAGCGTGTGTGTCTGTGTGTGCGTAGTTTGCGTGATTGAATTGCAAAGTCATGAGCCTTTCTCTTCTTTTGCTCTTTTCATTTCAATTCCGTGGGAAATGATAGCACAGTCCTGCTGTTAGTTAGATTAAGAGCTGCATATGGATGGCTTTGCCCGTGACGCTGTGATTTTGTCAAGCCAAGTTGGATTCATCATCCAAGCATTGCGCGCTTTCGTCCCCTCATTTGCACTGCAACAGGCAGAAACAACTTAACGCCGGATGGTCACGGAAGTTCAAACGGGTACCTTGTGCTAGTTTATTTAAAGTGCTGCTCCAAAACCTTGAGGCCTTCTTATATGCAGCAAGGACGAGCCCCATCTGGAAGTGAAGATGGAAAATCATGAGTACTCAACGATTTTGTGTCCGGGTTCCCAGTCAAAAAGGAATTACTATCGGCCCTGGCTTACCATGTCCCCGTTGGTGGAGTGCAACGAAAGAAAGGCCCGCTCCAACACGTACAAATCCACGGCTTTATCCTCTGGGAACGTCGACGTATAACTCAGGCCGAAATCAATCATCACCTAATATATCACCAAGACCATTACCGCATCAGTACGAGCAACAAGATTTTTGAAGAGAAAAAGAAAAAGAACCAGACCAGTTCTCCCGAATGTATCAACATGTTGGACGTCGTAAGATCACCGTGTATCAATCCACCGTCGTGGATTCGCGCAATGGAGACACCAATCTGTGCAGCAATTCTCTCCAGCTCGCCACCTGCGAGACCAAATCCTCAGCTAGCAAAAGGACAAACATGAGGATCATACCAGGAGTGGGAAAGCCGGATTGTAAAAGTATATCTTTGACTGAAGAGCCAGTCACAAACTCGAAAGTTATGGAGCGCGTCACGGCATCCACGGCAAATAATGCCGGCGTCCGCACGCCCAGCTTCCTCGCCTTTGTCATGCATCTGGCTTCCTTTACGAACAAACGAAGAATGATAGAGCGCGCGTTTAAAGATATGACCAGAACAAAAGCAATCTAGTAAACTCACCCCGTAGAGACGCTTCTGCGAGAGCTTGGTGTCCAGCGATGGATGCCTGTACTTCTTGCAGAACCTCTCCTTGACGACAGCTCTCCGCCCCATAAATGTGGTCTCAAACACGCGCTGGCGGGCCAAAAACCACGGAGAATGAGAGATTATGCCGCCATTGCAGCTGAAGAATGGAGATACCGCTTCGGCGCCTTGCTTGAGGAGCGTGAGGCCGCGAATTCCATCCTCTGGCGCGTCCCCCTCGTGCTGTGACCCCATAAACCCTAAAACTCTGTTTTTAGGGCTTTTTAATAAACCCCTAAAGTTTTGTTTTTTAAATTCTAGCTCTTGGCCTCGGCTGGAGTTTTGGTCTTGAGCTGGTCCACGGCGTGGACGGCGTTCTGGAGCTCTTCCCAGATGGCCTTGTACACCATTCTTTGCCTGTTTACTTGGGATTGGCCCTCGAAAACTTCGGCCACAACCTCGATGCTGTGGAAAGAAAGAAAAAGAAAGAAAGAATTTGTCACTGTGGGATGGGATGCAATCCAAAGTGATGATTTCAATCGAAGTATCAACGACCAAAGACATGGAGGAATGGAATTCCAGAAGAAGATGATGGAGATTCCCCAAGCAACAGAGAAAAGGAGAAGAAAATGCGTCTACGAACTTCCAAAAGGAAAAAAAGAAAGAGGGAAGAACAGTACCTGACATGTCGCCCATCTCCATACGCGTCCTTGACGGTCACCTCTTGTGCGTTTAGCTGCTCTTGAATCTGACCATAGAAAAAGTAAGAGAATCTAATCACACTCAATCGAATCGCCCACCTTGGATTGCATCCCAGCGATCAAGGAATCTACAGATCCGGGGCCGGAGACATCCGCCGCTCTGACGCAAAACCTCCGCCACGCCGCCTCGCCCGCCCTGTCCCGCGATCGGGGCTTTTGAAATGCCGAGCGCAAAAATCCCCTGCTGCTGCCGCCACCCAGGCAGCTGCTCGATCCCAATCCGCGCATTCGCAGCAGACCTATCATGCCCGGTCGATTCGCAGCCAGCACAATCGCAGCGGCGCCGCCGTGAGCAATCCTCGCCATCGCTAGCGCCATTGGAAGAATTTAGGGTTCTTGGAAAGGAATCAAGGAATCTCACGAATATGCTTACACTAATTGAGCATATCCCTTGATTATTTGAAATTGCGATAACGCTGACACACTCCTTTTATTGCCGAGTTTCTATTTGGGCTCACGGAATCGCGACCAAAAAATAAAAACGTTTACGCGCTCTTCGACCGCCACGTTTTTAACGAGCCTTGGGTGCGTTCGCTATTAGGGTTCTGACGCTGCAAGGTACGCAGCAGCTTAGATTCGATCGCGTTGTCACGAAATTTCAGATGGAGATGGAGGAAGCTGGGCGCATCGATCACCTGTCGGGCGAGCGGCAAAAGGCGCAGTTCGATTTGCAGCCAATGAGGGTGCTACTGGCGGGCGGAGAGCACGAATTGGACGTGGCGCAGCGTGTTGCTGCTATTGTCGCCAGGGACCCGGTAAGCGAAATCGTTCGCCTCTGGTGTTCGTACCAGCAATTTTTATTTGTTCATTTCCTTTCTCAGGTGTTCAGCAAAGCAAATCGAACGAGGCTAAGTCGAGAAGAACTCTACAAAAACAGTCTCCGTAAAGCTTCCCATGGCTGGAAGCTGATCCAGCAACTGAAACTAACAGGTACCTTCTCCAAAAAATTTTTTCTCACTTCTCGATTGCATTGAGCAGAGGAGGAAGCGTTTAAGCTGAGATCTCTTGTGGACGAGCCGACTTTTACAGATTTGCATTGGGTGAGCACGTAACTGGTATCTTCGGAATGGAGCTTATAAGTTTTATTTGTAGGGAATGTTTGTTCCAGCCATCAAAGGTCAGGCAACCGACGAGCAGCAAAAATACTGGCTTCCTCTTGCCTACAAAATGGCTGTGATCGGTTGCTACGCACAGACGGAGCTTGGTCATGGATCTAATGTCCAAGGCCTTGAAACTACTGCCACTTTTGATCCTGCGACCGACGAGTTTGTGATGAACAGCCCAAACCTGACTTCTACAAAGGTAAACAAATCTTTGCGACGAGCATTTTCTAATAAAGCTGTTTTCAGTGGTGGCCTGGTGGTCTAGGCAAAGCCTCTACACACGCTCTAGTGTATGCTCGACTGATCACCGACAATCACGACTACGGGATACACGGTATAGTTTGTTTTGGTTTCTCTTAAGTGCTTAACGTCGTGTTTCCAGCCTTCATTGTCCAGATTAGAAGTTTGGATGATCATAAGCCTTTGCCTGGAGTTACTGTTGCTGATATTGGTGTAAAGTTTGGAAATGCTGGTTACAACACCATGGACAATGGGCTTTTGCGTTTTGATCAAGTTCGCATACCTCGAAATAACATGCTAATGAAGTAAGATATGTTAGAATGTGTTCTTCGACTTTTCTAATGTTTATTTTCTTTCAGACTTGCTAAAGTTACGAAAGAGGGAAAGTATATCTCCTCGGATGTCCCAAAGCAGCTCGCTTACGGAGCAATGGTTTATGTTAGACAGAGCATAGTGTCTGATGCGTCTGTATATCTTTCTCGCGCTGTAACGATAGCTGTAAGATACAGCTGTGTTCGTCGACAGTTCGGTGGTCAAGGAAATGATCCTGAGACGCAGGCAAGTTCTTTCCATATTTTGATTTGGATTTTACTCTGTCGCAACAGGTTATTGACTATAAAACTCAACAACATAGGCTCTTCCCGTTGCTAGCAACAACTTATGCTTATCGTATTGTCGGGCAGTGGCTGAAATGGCTTTATTCGGACGTCATGAATAGATTGGAAAGCTACGATTTTTCAACCTTGCCAGAAGTGCACGCGTGTACATCAGGACTGAAGTCCCTCACTACGTCAGTTGCTGCAGTAAGTCTGAAAAAACGTAGCTTTTGGCATTCTCTAAGGTCACTGTTTGTTCTTCTGCAGGACGGAATTGAGGAATGCAGGAAGTTGTGTGGTGGGCATGGATACCTCTGCTCCAGTGGTCTTCCAGAATTGTATGCTGCATATGTTCCTGCGTGCACCTACGAGGGAGACAATGTCGTTCTTCTTCTTCAGGTAAATCTTCTTACAGTGTCTTCATGTTGCGTATCTAAGTTTTGAGACAGGTTGCAAGGTTTCTATTAAAAACATTGTCCCAACTTGGAGGTGGAGTCAAGCCCGTTGGAACAGCTTCTTACTTGGGAAATTTACCCGTCCTGACTAAGCAGGGATCTCGGGTTTCTCAAGGTATGCAATTTCTTCCCTCGGTGTTTTCTTTTGCTAAAGTTGCTTGGAACTTTATAGGAACGGACTGGCTTGACCACTCAAACCTTCTCTACGCCTTCGAAGCCAGGGCAGCTCGCTTGGCTTTAGTTGCTGCTCAACTTGTTCAAAAAGCTGGAAACGAAGCAGGTAAGGAAAGTTGTTTTACTAAAATAGTATATGTTCATGGTTCTGCTTCACAGGATTTGAGCAGCATTCCATTGAACTGATCGAAGCAGCTCGCGCTCATTGCGAGCTCATGGTTCTCTCAAAGTAAGTCGCTCCTTCCATTTTTTCTGCTTTGCTACAGCTTATTTTCCTCGCGCCCAGATTCGTGGAGAGATTGCAGCGAGGAGTCCCTGGCCGTGGCGTCCAACGTCAGCTCGATATCCTCTGCGAAGTTTACGGCCTCTTCCTACTCGTGTCCCGAGCTGGAGACTTTCTCTCCACGGGATGCTTGACTCCAACGCAAGTAGCGCTGGCAAAACAGCAGCTCCAGAACTTATACACGGAGGTAACGCCACAAACTCGATCCTTTTTGGAAGCCATCTTCACCATCCTTCTGTGTTCGTCCAGGTGCGACCAAACGCCGTGGCTCTAGTCGACGCGTTTGGTCATACTGACCACTACCTGGGATCAATCCTTGGTCGCTACGACGGAGATGTGTATCCAAACCTCTACAAAGATGCGTGGGAGGAGCCACTCAACAAAACGGTGGTCACGGATGGCTACGAAGAGTACATCCGGCCCATTCTCAAGCAAGAGTTTCTCCCGAGTCGCAAGGCCAGATTGTAGTAAGCCGCGAACGGACGGCCGAGATTGGCTGTTATTCACGGGACGGCTAAGATTTTTACCTGGTGGGAATAAAGTCCTGTGTTGATGTATTAGGGTTCTTGCTACATTGTACTGGGCGGCTAGGGCTCTTTAGATTCTCTATCGCCTCCGCCACGGCGCTGTGGCTGTAGCGATAGTCCCCGGGAACAAATTTGGCTGCGTGCGATTCCTGAGCACTCCCAGTTACCGTGTTTCCTAGATTCTTCTTGGCGATTGGCCGCGCTTTCTATTTCTTGTGGCCGATGATGATGATTCTTTCGAAATGGCGGAGATTGGTTTTCTGTGACGCTGTTTTCTGTTGTTACACACCCTGATGGCCAGTGTGATCGTGATCAAGGGGCTAGAGAGTAGGGCGGCGAGCTCTTGATTTTCGCCGCGCCTTAGTCGCCCCTTGGAGAGAGAATTGTTGCTGTTATAGCAGGCATTGGATCGATTTTACCCCAAGCCTGTGTCGGATGGCAACGACAGCTCGAAATTTGTCGGGGAATCTCGATTGGTACGATGATGAGAATCGCTCTGGATGGGCACGCCGTGATCAGTGGGTAACACTATGAATGGCGCAAAACAAACGACTTCTCCTTCCTCTGAGTACCCTAAAACGATAAAAGCCCTAGAATCTCCCAAGAACCCTAGAAATTGGTCGGCGCCAGTATCAGCCGGCCACGTATGCGGCCAGATGTCACGCTGTTTATAGGCCGTGTCATCGCAGCACATTTCTCTGCTTTTATTTGCGGTGCGTTGTGAGGCTTTGGGGTTTTTCCGCGACTAAAATTGATCGATAGGGAATCATGGGCGCTATCTGGGCTGTGATCACCAGGCTGCACGCCTTCGCTGGGTAAGCTCTCTCGCAATCGATTCAATCCGGGCGGAAACCTCACTCCTTTTGGCTTGTTTTCCCCAATTTCTTCCATCCAGGCCGGTCATCTCTGTTCTCTACCCGATGTAAGCGCTCTTTCTTTTTTTTCTCTCTCGATTCGTGGCTGAGTCTCTCTCCAGGCTCGCGTCTGTCAAGGCGATCGAGAGTCCACTCAAGGAAGACGACGAGCAGTGGCTAACATACTGGATCTTGTATTCTTTGATGACGCTGCTTGAGATTGCCGCTGCACCAGCGCTGGCCTGGTAAAGTCCCTCTTTTTTTTTCTTCCCGGTCTCTTAGATTTTTTTTTTTTTGTGGTCAGGTTTCCTTTGTGGTACCCTGTGAAGCTCGCGCTCCTCTGCTGGCTTGTTCTTCCACAGTTTAAAGGCGCGAGCTTTGTCTACAACCAGCTCGTCCGCAAGTACGTGGTTAACAACAGTGGTGCGATCAAGGAGAAGGTCGGCGATGTCTTGGATCCCCAGACGAGGTCATCGGTGGAGAGATTTATTCACGAGAATGGATTGGACGCGCTGGACAAGCTACTTGCCGAGGCTGTGAGTTTTCATTTTTTTCTTCTTTCGAGGATCTAAAGCTTTTTTTTTGTTTGTGATGTTCCTTTCTTGCAGGCACAGAAGAACGAGAAGAAACCACTTCCATCTCCGAAGCAAGAATCCCAAGAGAGATATTGAGAAGGAAAAGTCTAGCTTTGGCTGTGGGTGTACATTGTCTTAACGTATGCTTCAGGTTTCCTTAGAGTCTTTCCTTGTTGCTTATAAAAGTTTTGTATCTCCCATTGGATCAAAGCCGGATTTTACATAACTGGAGCACCCAAGTATCATCTGCATCTGTTTGGTTCAAAAACAAAGAAATTTGCTCTTTCGCTTGTGAGCGTAAACACTTGAGAAAAATTTCATTCGCATTCCAACCTCGTGAAGCTTATTGTGGATTTGGTGCCCTTCCATTTGCTGCGGACACTCGGGATCCCCACTCGAGGAGCTCTCTGCTCGTGTCGTCCTTGTGACAAATGCATTCGATGAAGCAAAAGCAGTCTTTCTTGTCGCCGGTGGCCTGCTTGATTGCTTCCAGGAGATCCTCTTCGGTTTTCACCTGACCGACACAATCGTGAGACGAGAAATAAATATAAAGAAACCTCTGTGATTACCTTGCACGTCCAGGATTTTCCTTCGCCATTGTGGATGGCGTCTACCAGGCCGGTGTAGTCCCAGTTCTTGATCACGTTGTACGGCCCGTCGTGGATTTCGACTTCGATGGTGTATCCTCCGTTGTTAATGAGGAAGATGATGCTCTTTTGCTCTTGCCTGATCATGGTTGAAACGTCCTGCGCTGTCACCTGTGTAGAAAGCCACACAATAGTATTTTTTGCTCTCTTCAAAAGACGAACAAAGCGCACTCTTTTCTTACCTGGAAACTTCCATCACCAATGCACGCAATGACACGCTTGTTGGGAACAGCTTGCGCGTATCCCAAAGTCGCACCCACTGACCAGCCTATCGATCCATATTGCATTTGAAACTCGTAGCTGTGTGATGCCAGCAGTTAGTGCTCTACGAGAAAGCTAAAACATTCTCGAAGTTTCACTTACCCGCATCCCTGTGGAAGCTTCAATTTCTGGCAGTTAAACCACGAGTCTCCGGTCTCGGCAATCACGGCTGTGTTCTCGTTGAGCATGTCCTGGAACCAAGACTACAACGGTCAGACAGAGGATCGAACAAACCAGCCTTACTTATAAGCTCCTTGTTGGTGATGTTTTTAAAAGAGGATGGTTGGTTGTTTGCCTGGATGTGCTTGAAGAGCACGTTAACTCTGAGTGGTTCGCCAGGAATGGCTTTCGGAACGATCCCCCCAGGAATGTAGATCCGCTTGAAGTTGTCAAAAGCCGTTGTGTTCCTCTTTACTTTCTTTGCCAGGCCTTCAAGGAAGTCCTTCATCAGGCAGCAGCCAAACGCGACACCGTTTGCAATTGTGACCCGGTCCGGCTGCACAATCACGGCCTTTTCCTTTTTGAAGAGAAGCGAATACCCGACTGAGCTGTAGTCATTGAAGATTGGTCCCGCGAACAAGTAGCAGTCGGCCGACTCCACGATTTCCAAGCAGAAAGGAGTGCTGACGGCCCCCCAGTAAGTTCCAATGTAATGCTCGTGGGTCTCTGAGACCTGGCCTTTGGCGGAAGGCATCGAAGCCAACGCGTAGCCGGAGGCATTCGCAAGCTCCTCAAATGCTGCTCCGGCTTTGGCTACTCGCAGCTTAGGACCTCCGACAAGAACTGGCTTAACTGCTGCGTTTAGAACCTCGGCCGTTGCCTCTATAGCTGCCTCCAAACTCGCGGGATTGCTTTGCCTGTAAAATGTAGCTCTCTCAGTAAAAAAGAACTCGAGCTTTTTTTGCAATAAAAAATATCACAAGAACTAAAACATCCACAAGCAAGAAATGCAACCTTGTCGGAGTTCACAAAAGCATCAGAAAACAAGGAAGCAGCCAAATGCTAGACAAGCAAAACATCAAACGTGTCAACAGCTCGCAATGAAAGTAAAAAGCACCTCTTGTGTAGTGCGTAGGGAACAGGCTCCCTGTTGAAGGACGCGTGTGGAATGGCTGGAAGGTTACAACTTATGCTGATATAAACTGGCTTGCTTTCTTTGAGAGCAGTGGCGATGGCGTAGTCGATGAGTTCGTGTGCATCGTCAATGTGTTGAACTACAGCCTGGAAAAAAAAAAGAGACAAAAACGTTACACGTCTTAGCAACTAAGAAGAACTACAGGAAGAACACGTACGTACCTGTGCGCAAGTCACTTGCTGGAAGCATCGAAACTCCTGGCTAAAATCCGGAATACCAATGGTGTGGTGGAGAATCCGGTTGGTCCCGAAATCGTTGGAGTTGGGGCCGCCGACGACACATATCACTGGCAGATTCTCGCTGTAGGCTCCCGCGATGGCGTTGATCACGCTGAGGCCACCAACGGTGAAGGTGACGACGCAGCAGCCCACGCCATTGATCCGGGCGTAGCCATCCGCGGCATAGCCAGCATTGAGCTCGTTGCAGCACCCAACCACGTTGAGCCCCGGGTCGGCTATGAGATAGTCGAGGAGGATGAGATTGAAATCCCCGGGGACCGAGAACACGTCCCTCACCCCGACCTCGACCAGGCGCCGGGCGAGATGCTTGCCGAGCGTGCCCTTGGGATCGTTGCTGGGAGGCCCTGTCATGCTGTAGGATGCCGATGGAGAAGATCCTGCTGCTGGAGAAGAAGAGCCCTGACTGGGCGAAGGCTGAGGAGCTAGGAGCGACGATGCGGCGACTGTTGGGGACGACGGATTATCGGCGGCGGCGGCGGCTGGCGATGTCGATCCTCCTCCGAGAACTGCGCTGAGCTTCCTCCCGGTCGGCGAGAACAGCTTGCTAGTCCGCTTTTTCATGTGAAATCAGCATCAAGATCCCTCACCTGCATCGCTCTCCGCGGGGATCACAGCGGTAGTGGCATTGGCGCGCAGCGAAGAACCCTAGAGAGGCGCGTCCAAGGAGCTCAAGTTTGATGCGTCCCTTCGTAGGGCTTGAAGCGCTGGCTGATGTGGCGGGAAAAGATCCAACGGCGGGGCTTTCAAAATGAACGGTGCAGATTGTTTCAAGTTTGCCACATCAGCAAAACCACTGACCCGGTTTTAGGGTTCTTGCGAGAGCGATGAGCGCGAGTTTCTTCGTCTTTGATCGCCGGAGATGGATCTCCAGGGGAAATTCTGGCGGCGGATTGATTCCCGGAGCGGCGGCGCTGCAGTCCGTGAGATTGATGAGGCGCAGCACCAGAGAATTAAGAGAAAGGTATGCCTGCTCGTGGATTCACTCAAGGAATGCAGCCGTGAGAGGGATTTAGAGCGCGGCAGGGCAATCCACGCCGACGCTCGCAACAGCGGGCTGGAATCCAATATTTTCCTGGCGAGCTCTTTGCTCTACATGTACTCGAAGTGTGGGAGCATGGTGGACGCTCACAGGGCTTTCGACGACATGGTAGCTCACGACGTGGTGACTTGGACGTCGCTGATCCTTGGGTATGCCGAGAATGGGAATGGATACTCGGCCTTGGAGATTTTCTCGCGAATGCTGCTTGAGCGATGCCCGCCAAATCCTCGGACATTCGTGGCGGGATTGAAGGCCTGTAGCAGCTTGGCCGAGCAAGAACAGGGACTTGAGATGGTAGTCGACATGGAAAAGAAGAAAACGACGGAACAACAAAAACAGGAGGTGGAGAAAAAAAAGATGGTGAAAGCTAAAGCTCTGGAGAAAGGCATGGCTCTCCACTCAAGAGCTATGGCAGAGAAGTGTGATCTAAACATCTTCGTCTCCAACACACTGGTAGACATGTACGCAAACTGTGGGAGCATGGAGGATGCTAGAGCTGCGTTTGAGAGGATGCCTTGCCGGAGCGTGGTTTCCTGGAGTGCCTTGGTTCTGGGATACGTTAACAACGGGGAGCCAAGTGTTGCTTTGGAGGTGTTTTGCCGGATGCAAAGAGAAGGCTTTGCTCCAAACTCGCAAACTTTTGTTGCTGCTCTCAAGGCTTGCACCTGCCTGGCGCTGGGCGAAGATTGGACTCAAGTTGGCGACGAGTTTTTAAAGGTAGAATCGTTGGAGAAAGGCATGGCGGTTCATTCTCAAGCTTGGAAGTCGGACCTTCCTTCATCGAACAACTTTGTCATGAACACGCTCGTGGATATGTACGCAAGCTCGGGAAGCTTGTGGGACGCGCACAGGGTCTTCCAGGCGATGCCTTGTCACACCGTCGTCTCATGGAATGCCATGATTCTTGGCTACGCCGAGAATGGGAACGGTCACTTGGCGCTACAGCTCTTCACAGGTATGATATTTGATAGAAGTTGTGCTCCAAATGTATTGACTTGTGCCGCTGCTCTCAAGGCGGCCTGTGCTAGTGGCTCAACTCTGGAGGCGGGGAAGTTCGTTCATGTGCAGATCTGCAAGCTCGGCTTCGAGAGCGAAACAATTTTACAGGCTTCTCTGATGGACGCCTATGGCAAATCCGGGAGCATGTTTGCTGCACAGTTGGTCTTTGAATCGTCCCTAGCTACTAGAGACGTCATCAGCTGGAATGCTCTCATGGGAGGCTACAGCCGTCAGGGAGACAGCCACCTAGTCTTTGAGCTCTTTGCTGCGTCGCAAGACGAGGGCCTTCGACCCGACAATGCAACACTTCTGTGCATTCTTTCTACGTGCGCTCACTCGGGTCTGGTGGACAAAGGAAACAAGTATTTCCAGGCAATGAGCTCACGGTTTGGTTTAAGCCCCGGCTACGAGCATTACGTCTGCATGGTTGATCTCCTCGGACGATCGAACCAGCTAGAGCAGGCACTGGCACTGTTAAGAAGTATGCCCATGGAGCCGGATGTAGCAGCATGGCGAACTTTGCTTGCAGCCTGTGAGAAGTGGAAGAACGAGAAAGTTGGGAAGATAGCCTTCGAGTCTGCTGTAAGACTGGGTGACAACAACGCTGCTGCCTACACGATGATGGCGAGCATCTACGAGAGCGAGGATAGAAGAACCGAGGAGAATTCTTAAGACAGGTATGTTTTTATTTTGGTATTGCTCTTTATTCTGGTTTTCTCTCTTAACATTCCTCCTCAACTTTGCAGGCCTCAATACCATTTTCATGATCCGAGCTTCGGAAATTTATCCTGCCAATGCATTCGCCCCAAGAGCAGAGATAGACTCCTACGCAGCTGCGTTGCAAGAATGCTCCAGAGCGCAGGACCTGGCCAAAGGGAGACAAACTCACGCCAGAATTGTGGAAGCGGGCTGCAACCACGACAGATTCCTGTGCAACCTGCTGGTGAGGATGTATGGAGAATGTGGCAGCATTGGTGAGGCCAGCTCCGTCTTCGACAGCATCCACGTCAAGAACCTCTACTCATGGAGCATCATGATATCGGCTTGCGTCCAAAATGGACAAGGCTTGAGAGCTCTCAAGCTCCTGTGGAACATGGACCAGGAAGGGATCAGCCCTGACAGAGTCGTCCTCATCGAGATGTTGGGAGCCTGCTCGCATCCCGAGCTCGTCCTAGTTGGCAAGGCACTCCATGACCGGATTTCAAAGCTGGAAGATTTGAGAGCTCACGTCTTCGTGGCCACGGCAGTGATCAGCATGTATGGGAGATGCGGCTATCCGGAACTGGCAGTACAGGTTTTCAACGGGATGGAGCTCAAGACTGTGGTGTCCTGGAACGCGATGCTTACCGCTTATGCCCAGCGTGGGTATCACCGGCAGTGTCTCCAACTTTACGAGGACCTGACGAGGCTCACGGACGTCTCTCCAAATGCTATCACCTTCGTGGTGGTGCTAGACGCTTGCTCTCTTCTCGGGGACCTGGATCACGGTCGGAGTGTCCACGAGAGAGTAGCCTCACAGGGACTGGAGAGCGATCACATCGTGGGAACTTGTCTTCTCAACATGTACTCACGGTGTGGCAGCGTCACCGAAGCCAGGAACGTCTTCGACAAACTCGAGCGTCCCAACGTTGTCTCCTGGACGTCGATGATAGCCGCATACGCCAACCATAGCTACGATCTTGAAGCTCTCCAACTGCTTAGAAGGATGGATCTAGAGGGTGCCAAGGCAGAGGAGATGACGCTTGTCAACGCACTGGGTGCCTGCTCCAACCTCAAAGCACTGGAAGAAGGGAGAAAGATCCATGCCCGGCTGAGTTCCAGTGGCATCCAGTCCGACTTCTCGGCCAGCGCGCTTGTCAACATGTATAGCCGCGCAGGGAGCTTGGAGGAAGCCAGAGACGCGTTTCGCAGTAGGAAAAACAGGAATGCAATATGCTGGACGGCCATGCTCGCGGCCTATGCCCAGCACGGGCATAACCACGACGCGCTGCGGCTCTACAGGGAAATGGACCTGGAAGGCTTGAGACCCGACGACGTGACGCACGCCGCGGTCCTCGGAGCCTGTGCGTGCCTGGGAGCTCTCGCGGAAGGCCGGAGAGTCCACCGTCGAATCCTCAGCACTCGGAGCTCCTCGGGCTTGGATGTTGTTCTCGGCACAGCCACCGTCAACATGTACGCCAAGTGCGGCCGAGTGGACGAAGCCAAGCTCGCCTTCGACGGCATCTCCGACAAGAGCGTCTTCTGCTGGACGGCCATGGTCGGAGCTTACGCACGAAACGGGCACGGCGAGAAGGCCGTGGAGCTCTTCAGAGAGATGGTGGAGTCGTCGCGGACGCTCCCGAACGACGTGACTTTCACGACCGTGCTCAACGCCTGCAGCCATGCCGGGCTGGTGGACGAAGGCAAGTACTTCTTCGCGCTCATGGACAAGGTCTACGGGATTGCTCCCAGTGGCGAGCACTACGGCTGCATGATCGACCTGCTGGGACGGGCGGGGCGGCTGGAGGAAGCCGAGCGGATGATCACTGGCATGCCATTCCCCGCAGACAAGATCTCGTGGGAGACTTTGCTCGGGGCGTGTAAGTTACACGGTGACACTGGCCGGGGAGCTCGCGTGGCGGAGCAGGCACTTCGAATGGATCCGGAGAATGCTGCAAACTACGTGATACTTTCGGATCTCTATTTTGCCAGAGGCAAGACAAACATGAACTGAAAGAAGTTAAATAGCTTCGGAACCTGGTAAGTTTGTAGTTACGCAGTGATGGATCCGGCAAGAGCTCAGCTTGTACTAGTAGTCATAGACTGGGCCTCTATGCTTTGCATCCTTGAGCGCCTGAAAAGAAACGAGAAAAACAAGTGAATAAGATTTGATCAGTAAGCACGAAGAAGAACTTACGCCGCGAAGGAGCTTCTCGAAAGCCTCCTCTCCATTCTCGAGCACGTACTTGGACGCCAGGTTTCTCGAGTCCACGCCGAGGCTCTCAAACTTCTTGCTGTGCGCCGACGGTGAGATTGCGGCTGGCTTGCTTATCAGCTGGTTTTTCAGAGGGTGGTCCTTGACGAAGTGCTCGTAGACGTAGGCGGCGCCCTTGAACTGCGGAAGAACAAGCCAGCACGCAGCGACGAGCTTGAGAGTCGGCCAGATGGGAATCCTATCACAGAGAGAGAAAACCAAAGAGAGGTTTTGAGAACCCAGCATCGAAAGCAAAAGAAAATGTCTGGAGAGGATCGAGCGAGCACGGATTACCAGGCCAGAACGGTTCCCAATGCAAGCTCGAGGAGCGTAACGAAGGAGTAGAGAACCCAGTAAGTGAGCCACTGGACATCGTCTTCCTTGTTGGGGCTCTCCACGGCTTGAATGGATGCATACCTGAAACATGGATTAGCCTCCAATCTAACGAAGAAACAAAACAAAACCGATCGATCGATCATGGCGCTGCTACTCACAGAGGATATAGAAGCATCATCAGAGGCCTGAAGAACACAGAGCGCGCGGTTAGCTCAGAGCTCAAACAGAGACTGAGATTCCAATAGCAAATGTGTGAGAGATTTACCCGGCCAATGTGTGAAGCTGGACAACGTAGTTCCAGAAGGATCCCATTGCCGTCGCGCGCGATCGCAAAAATCCCCCTCTCTCGCGAGTGCTGGAGGAGGAACCCTAGACCCGTAGCTCGTACAGTATCGATGGAGGAAAAAGAAAAAGAGTGGCCCTCTCTTTCTCGCCCCCCTTGTTTGTTTTTCTTTCTATTTTTTGAGGAAGGCGGCATCTTTCATTGCTTTCAAAATCATGATTTATGACGTTCCGTGCAAACAGGATTAATTTTCATTGATTTTTACAAAGCTAGAAAAAGTAAGAAAAAAAAAGTGCACTCTCGGTGGGACTCGAACCCACAATCCCTTGATTAGAAGTCAAATGCCTTGTCCATTAGGCCACGAGAGCAACCAGTAGACATTCTCGAGGCCCAGAAAGTTTCACTTCTGAGATTAGTTTCGAATTCATTAATTAATTCAAAACAAGCTACTGAAGATCAATTGATTAGTTGGGATGACAAACAACACCAAATATATTAAGATCAATCATATGAGATTTTTTAGCTTGCCACCGCATTTTCGAGTGAATGCATCTGGCGGATGCAAATACTTCCCAGACACAAACGCGTTGGTCGCAACCTGCGCAAACTTTTCCGTGTAGTGGCTGAAATCCCAGAAAACGAACTGGGCCGGAGTTGTGCACAAAGTGTAGCCTGGCTGCCCGCATCCAATGCTGATGTTGAAGTTGAAGGGCCCCTCGGCGCCACAGCAAGCTGAACTCGTATCAGTGAATCCTGCGAGTTTTACAAGAATTTATTGACATCACAATCGAAAAGCTTAATTACCGTGTTTTCCAGGATTGTTCATGACGTCTTTGTGGATTCCTTCGAAATCCGCAAATGCAAGAAAGCTATCAGTGTATTTGGCTTTCAGATCTTTGACCAGTTTTCTCAGCATGGCATTGTGCGCAGCAGTCAGGTTGTAGAGCTTCTCCCTGTTAACAAAACTTCCAAACGATCTGTAGGCTGGATTATCCACTGCCGGAGGCATCCCAATGAACAGAAAGTTTCTCGCCCCGGATCCATGCAACTCCTGGTGGAAAAATGTCCACCAGGAACTAAGTTTTTACAATTAAAAGCAAAAGAAACTTTGTTTCACCTCAAAGAAATGCTTTATGGATCCTCTCACAAGTGGCAACAGCGTACAGTTCAGTACTTCAGGACTCATGCCTCCCTTAAAGAGCCCGACTGTGTAATCGTTGCTTCCAATCTCGCCTATTACGTAGAGTCCCTCGGAGAACGCAGTCACTGCCTAGAAAACAAAAGAGAAAAAATATCAAATTCTAAGTTTTACCCCTCCCAACTCACCAGCTTGTGTTGTCTCTGCTGCCTAGCCAGCTTCTTAAATCTCAGAAACCAGCCGAGCTCATCGAGCAGCGAGTAAGGAACTACGGTGGTGACATTGCGAGATTCGTGGAAACTATGCTCGATAGCCGTTCCTCCACCAAGAGCAAAGTTCGCACCATACCGGAAGCTGGAAGCGAGCGGCTGAAAGTAAGCACCAGGGAAATCCTCAAATCCAAGAGCTTCAGCTGAAAACAGTAAACAGTTTGGTTAGCAAAAAAGGAAAATTTCAGAGTTAAAATTGAACTCAAGACAATCACCCAAGAAATCTGAGATCATCCGGCCGTCGGAGAAGCGTCCGGTTGCGTGGCCAAAGAATGTCTGCCCGTACGGAGGCTCGTTGCTGATGATCACTGGAGGGATGGGTTGCTGAAACACTTGCGGATACAGAGCGGCTTTGTTGCCCACATCCAGGTACGAATCTCCAAACACAAACATTGCTGGAAAGCAGAGATTGGAGCCATTAGAAAGCTTAGATGCTGCTCCAGCAGCAGCAGAAGCAGCAGAAGCAGCGAGGACGAGTAGCAACGCGAACATCTGCACTGCAGCAGGAAAAGTCAAAGCGCAGAAAAATTACTGTAGATTGCATTCTCACCTTCTCCTACTTCCTTGGAAATGTGGGAACTTCTAGCATATTTAAGCAACCATAGACATGATCTGAACATGTCAAGTAGCATAACGTTTCAATAATGTATGTCAAAAGTTTAAGAACCTAGGGGAAGCATAAAAACATTTGAGCGTACACTAAGCTCGCTAACTTTCCCGAAAACTGCAAAAGCCCTGGGTTGTTCAAAGCCATAGAACCTAGAGGTTAAAATGCGCACGTGTCATGAGACCACAAATTTCGATTATAACACTCCTACTCGGTCAGTCTTCGCTTGAGTCCTAGAAATATGGCGTGACCAGGCTTTTATTTAAGAAAAAAAAGTTACTTCACATTCCTGCCGATTGTATGCATGAGTAATATAAATCTGTTGTGAAAGTGCATGCTTTTATTTCCTCTTCTACTTCAGAAGTCCGTCTCGCCCAATTCTCTTCGATATCCTGTTTACTATACTGAAGAGCTTTATCACCGGTAAAAATTCGGATGATAGAGTTGAAAAATCTAATAGCTCCTCCATCTAAATTTCTTGATATATTCACAGGAAGACTCAACTCCTGCTCACATAGATCAAGTGTACCCAAGAGATAATCCCCATCTGGATAGATATTTGGTGCAAAATATTGTTGTCGAAGGTTATGAGTACACTCCTGTAGCTTGGAGTTCAAGTGCTGTATGAATCTTCCTGTAGAGACAAACGTTAAGTGAGGAAAGTCCCATCTTTGCAAATCTCAAACCTTCGACAGGATCTTTACAACAAACTTTGCTTATTTTGCCATGCACGATTGAGACTATGCCTTTACACTTCAAGACACCATAACGCCACTCTTTACGCGTTGGGCAAATGCAAGGAAATTGGTAAACAAACGTTAGCAACCATGCATAATATCAACATACTCGACGTACTCTCTTTACTCCAATCGTGAATGTACATTGGAGTATAACTTCCTCTCTTTGCGTTCTGGATAGCAGCCTTGATGGCATAGGCCGAGCCTTGGTCGAGTTTCCCAGAATTGCCGTTTCCATCACACTTGATTATTATCCCTGTCACCAAATTGTCTAAAGGGCCCAGTGTTGTATCGTGTACTTTTCCCTGATCCAGACACGAAACTAAATGAACATGATTAATATACTTCGGATGTGGAAATACCTCGAAGTCGCATAGATCAAGTCCCACTAGCTCACCAGCATCTTCATCCCTTCCATGCCTTATTTCATCACTTTTTTGCTCAAGGTCCCCTGGAGAGAAGGGATTAGAAAAAAACAAAAACTACCATAGCACAAGCTTCTTGCCTCCAGCCACGATTTCCACATCCCCAGTGCACAGCAGTTTAATGTTTTGTAGAAGACTTGCGTAGACAATCTTATTAAGTTTATCCTTGTACTGCCTTCTCGTTGTAATGACTGGACGCAAGAGGATATCAATGGCCTTATCAAGAGCGTCTTCTTTCATCAGCTGTCCATCAACCACATTATCAGAGGGCATGTCCTTCAGGTGTAAGGCGGTTCTGATCTTTAGAAATGGATTGGTAATGGCCAATAGCCTTCGGTTGTAGTTACTCTTCTGTAGAATGGAGGATAGCACTTCACCGAGACGGCGGAAAAAGGAAGGACATACCTCGACTGTGAATGGATTCTCCAGAAGTTTTGGTTTCTTTAGAAAAGGTGATGCACAATTGTCAGCAGGTCTCTTGCCACTCGCCTTATCCAACAAGATCGTATACTCTGATTCGACTTGTCTGGGCTCTGCTAGAGCTGCTTTCGCTGGCTTCAATCTAGCCGCTTTTAATACCTCTGTTTTATCATGCTCCTTTCGTTTTTCGCCCAGAAGCCGCGTCAGAGTATCCCACAACCCCATCGATCACGACACAAATCCCTAATTATATGGAGGTTATAGTTGATTGGGTATTAAAATAGCTTGTTAATTCAAATATTTGTGGTTTATTTATAACCACCATTATTTATATTAATATCTTGAACCATTTGTCAAAACAAAACAGAGTTCACCTGAGAACTACGTCCGCATATGGTTTCCAAATTGCCACTGACGATTCATCCATTTCCAGCGAAAAGAGCAAGCCTCGGAGCATCAGGATCGTACGAACAACCTTGGGTTACCAACAAAAAAGCGTCAAGGAGAAAAAGAGGGATTGATGGAGTGCTCACCAGCCAAAGCTCTTGATTGAAGGAACGCATTGGGACCTTCCGTAGGATGGAGTTTTCGGCCATGGGTGACACCGTTGCTTCTTCGACGTAGCACGTATCAAAGAGCATCCTGGCCATCATGACGAGCACTTCGACGCTCACTTCCTTTGAAGGCGAAGAAGAATCCTCAAAAACGATTCCCATTTCGCAAAGGACCCGAGCGGCAGCTACAGCGTCGTCACTTGCCAGTGAAATGACCATTCTGGCAAATTGCTTTCGTGACTCTTCACCAAGCACCTTGCTCTTGGAAAGGTAAACAAAAAAACAAGTTAGAAGGTATAAAGAAAACGAGATGATTTACTTGGCCGAAATCCAGAAGACCGAGCCGACCATCTGTTAATAAGAGTAAGTTTCCCGCATGCGGATCAGCATGGAAGATGCCATCTATAAGGATCATCTGAGGAACCACCAGAATTTAGTCACCACTCACCATGAGCTTGTAGCTTACCTGACCGTAAGCCTCTATGAGATTTTTTACCACGTCTCTTAGTTTTGGTATTCTAGAAATACGATTTAAAAACATGCATAAATCATGCCAAAAAATTTAGCAGTACCTTGGTTGCAAAGACTCGTCTGCATTACGATGCAGAATGTGGGTAAATGGTGTTCCATGAAGCCTCTGGAGTCAAAAGCAAGTAAAAAAGGAACAAAAAAAAAAATTAAAAACGAAAAACAATTCTTGGGCTTTTACCTCCATGACTATAAGTCGCCGCGTGCAAAGATTTTCAATTGGCGAAGGACACACAATCCTTGAAAATCCATGGGTTTCAAGGCTACTTTTAATACGCAGCTGCAAAAGAGCAGGAACATGAGAGACATAATTAGTCGCAGAAAATGAGGAGCATACCATGAACCAGACTTCTCGTTCAAAGTTAAATTCAAGAGGTATTGTCGCCTGGATTTCTTTCACAATCTAGAAAACACCAAGAAGATTGACAATGACAGAGCACGAAAGCCACATACCGGTGTGAGATCGACTGGTAGCTGTCCTTTTAGAAAACGAGCCACCTACAGAAACAGGAGTTCCGGATGATATTCTTTCAAGAGTACAGTGCATACCCTTGCAAGATTTCGTAGATCAGAATGCATTATAGTATCCATTCCGAGATGTTGTACTTTAACTACAACCGGTGTTCCGTCGATTAGCGTGGCCCCATGAACCTGTTGAAAGCTATCAGCCTTAATAAAAAATGTTGTAATATACCTGAGCAATCGACGCTGCGGCAATCGGGTCTTCCTCAACATCCGAGAAAAGTGCATCCAGTGGGGTGACAAAGTCCTTGCCTTTCGGGCATAATGCAAGCTCCTTCTGGATACTCTTTTTAACCCGCGAGAAAGGCGTTGGAGGCGCATCGTCAAGGTGTTTCGAGAGCCATTTTCTCCATTGCCCTGGAACAAACTCCTACACACGACAGATTAGTGCAAAAGACCAACGACTCACTCGTACTTACAGCTTTAGAAGCAAGGATTTGAGCAGACTTCACATAAAATCCACTCATATCCAGCACAAGCTGGTGGACCATCTTCCCTCCCCACTCGTGCCGTTTATCCCATAACTTATCCCGTTCGTCTCGGCTCTTGTTCCGTGCGTTCAGCTTTGTGATCATATACCTTCCAGACAGAAACACCTATGACTTATAATCAGAAACACCAGGCAAATGCTCAAGTTAATCAGTAAACAAACCTTGTGTATATAGGAAGCAAACGTCTCCAAAAACGAGCAGTCCGATACAGGTCGGGAAAAATCCACTGGATCAGCGGTCTCGAAATCGTAAGTGTCGTTACAGGAGTAGCGACATATCCCAGAAACGCCTCCTGTGGAGGATGGCCGCGGAACTACAAAGATCAAACCAAAGAAGGCAAGTTTGATCAAAAGAAAAGAAAGAAAGAACTACAACTGACCTTACGACCGAGGAGCGTCATAGCCGAATGACAAAACGCTGCCACTTGCAACGACTGCCAAGCCCATCTAAAGAACAATTTTGACACCAGCAAGACACCAATCGTAGAAACGAATGCCGCGGCACCGCGAAATGAATTCCGCCGCACGACGATTGGAGCGCGATCTACCAGCGGCCGCGACACCGCCCGGAGGCCCCCGGGCGAGCGCATTCCAGCCATCGCCAGATTCGGCGCCTCGCCCTGCGCATCACGAACGCAATCACGATCGATCCGGCGAAATCGCGAAGGAGCTCGCTTACCCGGGCGGCGCTCGCTTCCATTGCCATCAGTTGCTAAAACCCTAGATCCCCGCCACGCGTGCTAACGGATAGATGCCACGTGGCACAATTAGCCCTTTTTAATACACAAGGCATTCCTTTAGGTTGCACTCTCGCAGAGGAGGATGATCATGAACAAGGAGGCGAGTCACTACATCCATAGTTCGCGAAATCTTCTCCCCAAGGCGACTTTCGACAATCTCATGACCTTGTTTCGGAATCTTCGCCACTGCCGCACGGAGTCTTTGATGGGGATTCGACTGCTCCTCGCTCCACACCACCATTGCTGGGAGGAATTCCTGCAGTTTTGGCCTGGGGGCGAGAAAGCGATAGAACCGCTGGAGATGGAGTGGTTTGGGCCGAGCTACAAGGTTCTGGAGCAGCGGGAGAGCCCTAAAGGGGATGGCGGCGTGCTCAACACTACATTGGGCCTCGCCAAGCGGCCCATCGAGAGCCGCACGACCATGAAGACGGTGCACGAGAAGGCGCTGTTCGATTGCGAGGACGAGCAATTCGAGACCGACATGGCGATCGGGCACCTCGGCTGGGCGATCGATCTCATCGCGCGGCTCACGGAAACAAGGACGAAAATCGGCAGGAAGAGGGACTTGGATCTCCTGGTGGCTCGACTGTCGATGGCGCTGCAATGGAGCAAGGCCCAGGTGATCGAGTTACTGCGCAAGGAGGAAGCAGCGGAGGTTTGCTCGCGGCTCCGGGACGCCAAGGATGCCATGCTCAAGAACAGGGAAAAGGTTCGTACGGAATGGGCCACGGCGTACAGGGAACACACCGGTCACCCCGCGGCGCCGTACGGGGACGTACCGGTCATCGCCGCCGACAGCGCGTTGGTGGCCGAGATCCGCGAGGCACACGACAGGAACTCCGCGACCCACTCGCACTACTCCCTCTTGTCGGCGCTCTTGCCGGCCGACATTGTCCTCGACATACGCACGGACGACACCGTCAACGTAGACGTCAACGCGCTGGTCAACGGCTGCCTGTCCTCGCCGTGCCGCTCCTGGAGCTACTTCCTGGGGAATATCCTCGGCCTCGGGGCGCCGGTACCGCCGGTGGACGCCGGGACGCCGCTGTACCGCGCGGACGACTCCCCCCGCGCCGCCGGCGGCGCCGCGCGGATCTTCTACGGCCCGGAGGAGCTCTACGTGCTACTTCGGCTGTACGCCAAGCTCCACGACCGCGTCTCCTCGGCCAGGGCGACGTGCACGGATCTGGGAAAGCTTCCACTCTATGCGAATTTCCTCGCCTCGGCACCCGGGAGGGATCCATTCCAAGAACGCGGCTCCGGCGAAGAATGGAGGAGTGCTCTCGGGCACGGGGTATACACAATCCACGAGCTCCTGGCGAGGATCAGCAAGAACATCCGCGAGCTCCACGCCGACTCCAAGGCCGTTCAGGCGATCCAGCTCCACGAGATCGAGGCGGCGAGGTGGCGGGGTGGCGAGATCGACGACGGCGGCTACTTCGCCAACGCCAAGTTCGCGCTGCTACCGTACGAGGGGATCTACCAGTTCGAGGTTGTGGACACCGCTCCCGGGAGGGTGACGATCAACGTGAGGTTTTTTCCCGACGAGTTCTCTCGTGTCAGCGATCTCAACACGATCCGGGAGCTCATCGGGTACTACGCGCAGCAAGAGTGGGTGGAGGGGCTACTGGCGGATGTGGAGGAGGAGCAGCGGCGGGGGTGTCCCGTGTTCTTGAGGAGGAACCTCCGGAAGGCCTCGGCTATGGAGGATTACAGGATACATATACTCAATGAGTGTTTGCACAGGGTGACGGAAAGAGGTCACAGGATAGTGTGTCACACGGAGGACCTTTTGGTGCGATTTAAGGGGAAATTGGGTCATAAGTTTAAAATTTTCCCTGGGAAGGAGAAGAGGCCGGCTACTGTGGAGGACGCTCTCGCGCGGTTGAGAGGGAAATTGGCTGATCAGTTTAATGGGACGGACACGAGGAAGGCTATGAACGGAGGGAGAGTGGAGGGAGATCACAGGGACAAGAGAGTAAAACGCTGCTAGAACGAGCGGGACAGGCGGAGTTATCTTCAAACTCTCGGGCACTTGCAAAATCTCGAGAGTCCTCCTGCGCTCGGTTGCATTCGAGTGGACCGATTTGTTTGTATGTATTTTTCTGGCAGCTTCACGAGGCTTTTGTGAAGAAACCAGGAGCCTTAGTGTTGTTGCTGCTGCTGCTGCCCGTCCGGGTTTGGAATCCCGATTGGGGAAAGAACCTGGAGGTCAAGAAGCATCGAATATAAAACAATGTAAGTTTGATTCAACAAACAAACCCGTCTAGAGATCTCGGCCCGCATTCTAGCTTCTGTTCTTCTCCAGTTCTCTTCCAGTCTTCCAATCTCGTCTGCCAAACGAAGTTCATGAGAGAAAGAAAATACAGATCAAACGAACTTACTTATAAGGGGGCTGAGATCTTCTTGAGGTCTTCTGGCTCTCAACCAAAAGTAAGGAGACTGCACTTCAATCGAGAGACATCAGAACATGTACATAAAAACTTGATCAATGTACCTCGTCACGGCTCGAATCATCGTCAGAGATACTTTCACTATCTCCTTGACAATGCTTTCGGCCTGTAAATCGTAGCACGTTGTGGACGGTTACATTCTGATAGAAACCTGACCTTTGGTAATCCGTGACAGGATGTCATCCACCCTATACAAACTTCTGGAAGGAATCAGAAACGAAAATGTTGAACAAATGCATACTTCTCTTGTGGCTTCCTTGAAAAACTTTTTCTCGATCGGGATTTTTCCGGAGACTTGGAAGAGCCGCGTGGTTGCTGCAAGAAATGGTCTCAGTATGTATACATATAATCCGCAGTGCCACTACCACGCAAATATCGAATTTCGAATCCACTATCTCGTCGTTTAAATCAGCCAAAGTCTGCCACAAGTCACGATTCAGACAGACAAGTTTTCATATGAACGTGCTTACTTTTCTAACAAACGACTTGTCCTGCTCCATCTTCCCCTTCAAGTACTCAAATAATTCAAATGAAGCCTCTTGCCTAACAGGAAAACCGAGCATCGTACAAAGAAGTAAAGGCAATAGAGAGAAAAAGGTGTACCTTGAGAATATTGAGCGAAGGGTTGTTTCAGCAAGACGCAGCAACTGATCTTTCTTCAACAGAGAGGCTTTCAACCCTCTGCAACATTTCTCCTGCTGTCTAAACTCCTGGCGTGGAGAAAAAAATGTTTATCAGCGTTTCTTCTTACTCCCACCTTTTCTTTAATCTGTAAAGCCGCCTCTAAACTTTGAACTCTTTCCTGTGAAGTCTCGGGTTGCTGCAGCATGCAAAACAGCATCCACGTCAAGTCGAAACTCGCGAGAATTTGCATACCTTATTCGAAACTCTGTCGAGTTTCCAGTCGTCTAACTTAAGCTGGAGATCCGAGATGGTAGTACGGAGATCGGATGATAGCTGCTGGATAGAATCCCCATTTTTATCTCTCGATTCAACAACGTCTTTCTCCTGGTCACAAAAAAAACCGCGAATAAAATCTCATACTCAAAACAAACAAAAAAAATCTAAAAGTTATACCATAGAGCAGTTACATTTGATGAAATCTTGCCTGATCCACCTGTTCCTTGTGCATCAGCCTCTGCCGAACATCCTCATTGATCTTCTCCTGCCTGCATTGATCGATCCAATTACAAAATCCAGCACACAAAAGCCAGGATTACCTCTCGAGCGCCGATAGCTGTGCACGAAGCGCGAATTGGAGCTGCTGGATGACGTGATCCTTGGCCTGCATTGCCGCCTCCCAATTCTGGAGCGCATCCCTAGACCTGTTGATGAGCTGATCGTGCTGCTCGCGCAGCTCCACAAGCTGCTCCTCTTTCTTCCCCAGCGCCGCCTGCAATCCAACCCACGCATTCTTGTCGCCCCCGCCCTTCTTGGGAGGCGGGGTCCCGGGCGGCGATTCGGGCGGATTATTAGCGGCGCTCGCCCTCCGCCTGGCGCTCATGGGAATCCAAAAAAATTCCAATCCAACCCTAACCAAAGAATAGACGGCCAGGATTCGTTGCCCTAAGTTTTAGGGTTCTTCGGCGCCGGAGGCTAGAGCGAGGAGGAGGCGAGGCGGGGCGCGTCGCGAATCATGGGTAGGATTTTGCGCATTGGGTCCTGGATCTCACACTCGCTGGCTCAGGTATCTCGCGCGATTCGCTTCACAAGAGGAGGGCCACCGGTGGGAAGAAGAAGGCATGGAGGAAGAAGAGGAAGTAAGTCTCGGATTCGGCGAAGGGATGGATATCTAACACGGAAAATTTCCTTTTTGTGTGTAGATACGAGCTCGGGAGGCAGCCGGCAATGACCAAACTGGCGGCCAAGACCGTCCGCCGCATTCGCGTTCGCGGTGGCAACTTTAAGCTCCGCGCGCTGAGGCTCGACGCCGGGAACTACTCGTGGGGGACCGAGGCGGTGGCGCGCAAGACGAGGATCCTGGAGGTGGTGTACAACGCCTCCAACAACGAGCTCGTCCGGACCCAGACGCTGGTGAAGAGCGCCATCGTCCAGGTGGACGCGACGCCTTTCCGCGCCTGGTACAACCAGCACTACGGCGTGGATCTCTCGCGCAAGAAGAAGCCTTCGGCCGTGAAGAAGGAGAAGGAAGGCGAGGTACGCGCTCTCGCTTTTTTCGTTCTTCGCGTTTGGCTTGATTCCTTTTGTGATTTGGAGTTCCTAGCTTTGCTTTGGTTGTGTTCTTGGGCTCTTCCGATTCTTTTGTTATCGTGGTATGCTTTTTGTGTTTGACTTGGAGTTTCTTCTCTGTTCTTGGTATGCCTTTTGTGGTTTGATAGTTTCTACTCTTTTCTTTGATTGGTGTTTTACTTGTGGAGCTGAGTTTTACGAGTTTTGCGCTTCAGGAAGCTACAACTGAAGCCGGCCCGGCCGCCGAGGAAGAGAAGCCCAAGAGCAAGCACACCCTGCGAAAGCTTGCCAATAGAGCGGAGGGGCACAAGCTCGACCCACACATCGAGGAGCAAATGGCGAGTGGAAGGCTGCTGGCTTGCATCGCGTCCCGTCCTGGGCAGTGCGGACGCGCGGACGGGTAAGTCGAGCCAGTCGTCCAGCTCTCTCAGATCATTCAACCCGTGCTGGTACTCATCCGACCCGTGTGGTTTTGTTCTTTCAGGTACATTCTGGAAGGTAAGGAGCTCGAGTTTTACATGAAGAAGATTCAGAAGAAAAAGGGGAAGAGCGCTTCCTAGGCTGTGTCACTCACTGGTAGTGCTGCTACTCACCCTTCGCTCCGGCAGAGTATGGTCAAAGCTCTTGTTTTTTGGGAAATTTAAAAAGACAACTCTTTTGCTTCACACTTGCTATGGTTTCTCTGCTAACATCAACCAAAATCAATCGTTGCTTGACGCTTTTCTATCTAATTCTTTGTCTTGGGAGAGGATCGAACCTTTGAGCTTTTCTTTGTCCGCATGTGAATCATGCCATAAGCGATGTCTGCCATTGTCTTGTTGCTGTTGATTGCTTCACTAGCTCTAGTGGGACTCCAAATCGATTCTTTACCCTTTGTGCATCACAAAAGAGGGAGATAGGGAGGACACTGGAGCCCAGGGAAATGATCCGCCATAGTCCCGCAAGAGCTAGTGGCGCCACTGGTGATCCTCGCGCACGAGATTACCATGCCAAGTCGCAAACATTCTCCTCAGGTAATTGGCATCTCCAGGAGAATGGAGCCTCTGCTGCTGCTAAGCAATCGCCAGGAGCGCCACTGTTAATCCGGCTGGTGATGAAAATCTCTAGCCTAGCCTAAGGGATCATCATGGAAGATAGAGCTACTGTAGTTCATCCTCAAGTTTGCGAGATAGAGGTACTCATTCTTTCCTTTCCTCTGTGTTGTCATGGAACTTTGGTCTCTCTCTAGATTGACAGACCGGTTGCTAGCGAGAAACGAAGGCCCAGCTTGAAGCTCGAGATACCCTCCAAGCCCGCGGATGTTCCCGGGAAACCTCCGGCGGCGACGCCTACGCCGAGATCGAGTGGCAAGAAATCCGTGCAGTTCCAAACTTTCAGTAATGCTCTTCCGCCGCAGCCGCCGCCACCGCCATCCATCTCCAACACCCCAGGAGCAGCAACACCCCGATCAAACTTCTCGCTCATGCGGCTCCTCACGCCCCGCTCCGCAAGAACAGTGTCTCTTCCATTGCGATTCACGCTATCGTCTTCTTCGTCCGCGTCTCCGTCGTCTTCTTCGTCGACAGGGGCCGCGGCAGTGAGTCCAGATGCCATTAGAGAAAATTTGATCTCGTCATCAAAGGTAGAACTTTTCTTTCTTTCTTTCATCGTCAACTTTGTCATCTCGTCTTCGCAGGACAAGCAGATCAAACGCTCCAGGTCGGCGCTCGATGGTCACCAAAAAGAGAAGAAGCTCACCCGGCTTTACTCCGGAACGTTTCTCGTCAAGCCGACCACTCCTCGTCCTCGTCCCCGGGAAACTTCACAAGCAGACGACGGAGCCCAAGACACTGACCATGCCAACGACACCCAAGGTACGTAAACTTCCTATGATCAAGTTCATGGAGGTCATGGTTCCATGATCTGAAAGTTTCAAAACTTTTAGACGGCGAGGACGAGGAGATCCCCGAGGAGGAAGCAGTGTGCCGCATTTGCCTGTGCGATCTGGGCGAGGAGGGCAAGACGCTCAAGCTCGAGTGTAGCTGCAAAGGGGAGCTGGCGCTGGCTCACGAGGAGTGCGCTCTCAAGTGGTTTGGGATTCGAGGCAACCGCGAGTGCGATGTTTGTGGCCAGGAGGTCGTCAATCTCCCCGTCACGCTCGTCAGGCTCCAGCAAAACCAAAACAATATCAACGCTGAAACTCAAGGTCTCCAGCAAGCTCAAATGGCGCAAATGAGTGCTCTCAACAGGTAGATTCGTCTATCTCGCTCTACAGCTTTGTAGATTCCATGGTGTCCTTCCAGGATATGGCATGACGTTCCCGTGCTCGTCATGATCAGCATGCTCACGTACTTTTGCCTCCTGGAGCAGCTACTGGTGATAATTCTCTGATGATTTCGATTGATTTGCGAAGTTCTGGGATGGATTTCTTTGTTGCCTACTACAGGTGAGACGAAAGGGCCCTCGAGCATTGATGCTAGCTCTGCCATTCGCCGTCATGTTTGGAATGCTCACTGCCATCACAGCATCAACGCTTGGTAAGATTTCGTTTCTCTCTCTTTCTCTCGAGCTCCTGTTTGTAACAAAAGATTCTTTCAAAGCACAGTGAGGCGGCGTTGTATGTGGCTCTTTGCCATCTTTCAGGTCGGTTTTGTCATACTATTTGCGCATGTTTTCTACAGCTGGGTAAGATCACTCTCTTAAAACTTTTTTAGTTCTTATTTCAATCCATGATCCAGATGAAGTTGAACCCAATCTTATCAATTTCGCTGGCCGGTTTTGCGGGATTCGGATTGTCCATGATCGTGAATGCTCTCCTCCTGGAATGTTGGAGCTGTAGAACAAGAGCAGCGCGACAAGAAGACGCAAGCCAAGATATCGTGTAAATATGTACTGTAATTCTCACACACTTGTTTTGTGATAGAACAAAATGTATGCATCGCTCGAGCACCTCGATAGCTCAAAAATCTCTTCCACCACCTCATCGTCAAAGCTGTACCACTTTCCATTTGGGAGTTTGATGGTTGCCGTGTAGTGCCCATAGTCGGAGTCTCCCATATGGTTAATCAATCCATACAGTTTGTACTCCTGTTCCCAAAGTGTCAAAATCTGTGGAAACTCCACCGTGGTGTCGATCTTCTCCACACTCCCCGAAGAATCGCACTTAAACCTTGCCAAATGGAGGATCAAATTCCGTGGGAGCTTCCCAAGCTCCAGTTTCTTGACAGCGTCCTTTTGGTTTCTCTTGCACTTTGGGCAGTGCCAGGAATCCAAAACATCGTCTTTGGTGTACTCCCGGATGCATGATTCCAGAGAAACCGGCTGCGTCATCTCATGGACTGGCAGCGAGAGAGAGGTGAAAGATTCAGGCGTGGAGGAGACCATGTTGGAGCACTTCGGGCATTTCACTGTGGATTTGGTTTGGCCCTCGAAGAAATCTGCGACTGGAGAGGGGAGCTCTGGCCGCACCTTTTTTCCTTTAGGAGGATTCTCTTGCTTCTTGAATTCTTGATCCAGGGCACCCAAAAGAAAATCGAGATACTCCTGTGCGTCCTGCTGGACGCTCGGATTTGTCAGCTTTGGCCCTGGTTTTACAGACTTGCTTGCGTTATTCCAAATCGCCCTCACCACTTTCCTAAACTCGATTGCCATCTCACCTCTTACGTTGTCTGATTTCAAGAAGAAGCTAGAGAGCTCTGGAGTGTGAACAACGCACTGTAAAGCACTGTTGGCTGAACAAGAATTCCCTTGGTTTTGAAAGCCCACAGCCATTTGCCTTGCACACAACCCAAAAGAAAACCTAGAATATTTAAAGAAAACAAACAGGAATTAAATAATTAATGTGAGTGCTTGGTCACAATAATAATTATAAAATAGCAAAATTACCTTTATATAATAAATTTAAATGGAGAGTTATTGATGATAAATGATAATATTAAAATTATTTATAAAATGCCTAAAATTATTTTTTAATTATGTTATAAGCTTATATATAAACACATTTCACATTATAGAATTAAACTTCACTACTTAAATACCTATTTTAAAATTATATAAAGAATTAAAATATTAATGATTTTTAATATAAAAATTTTAAAAATATTTTATTTACTATAAATAAATGATAGACCTTCGCTACATTTACTCTTGTAATAACAAATATTTCACACTTTTGTCTTTTGTATTTTAGCTAATTGAATAAGTCATTGACATCACACAACCAAATTAAAAAAATTTGAGAAAGGGATTTAATATGTAATAATTATATTTTAATATAAATATATTTTAGGTTATAATAGTGACTTTAAAAGTTTTAAACACTATTTTTATAAGGATTTTTTACACACTCTTGACAAAATTTTCTATAAGTAAGAAAATGGAATAAAAAAATATGATTATAATCTACTAGGAATTTTGAAAGAATTTTTTTTTTTTTTGGAACATTCAAAAATTCACAAGAGAAAATGCATATATGAAAAATACCATAGGCCTTAATTGACAAAAATATACAAGTGATAGTAAAAGAAAATACGGAAGTTTAAACATCCTTAATTTATATTTAGTGTATGGTAATGTTACTATTTTTTTTAGATGTAGTATAGTATATCTTTTATATAATCTCAAAGAGTTAACACAGAAAACATTTTAATTTTATTCTTCAACATTACTTTCCATCCAACTAAATTCTCTTTAATATCCTTTTTAGTATATTTTCTAAAAAAAGAAAAGGTTTTAATGATCTAAGACCCCTTTTGCTAAAGGCTTTTCTTTATTTAGATGCCTTTTGTGCTAAATAATGTATCAAAAATATTTTTCTTTCTTGTGATATAAAAATTTGATTTTGTGAAAAATACATTAACAAAAAAAACAATTGCATAATGCTGCAAGGAATTTGCTCAAGTTTTAGCATACTATCCTCAAGATTTTGAAGACTGAAGACTAGAGGGACCAAGAGTGACAAGCAAATCAACTTTTATCCCTTACATTGTGGTTTAATGCCTTGAAAGCATGTAATAATTGAAGATTAATTCAAGAATCTACAAGACAGAGTCAAAGGAATCAAAACCAATGGTACATATTATCCCCAAGATCTCAGAAGACATCTGGTTGAAGTACATCTGGTTGGCTAGTTGCACTTAATATATAGAGATCCACTTGCATGGGATCTGGCATTGGTTGATCCTTAGGACACTGCATCGTGAAAGCGTAAAAAGCAAAAGAGAGAAAGCAGAAATGAGAAACGAATAATATATTATCGAAGGTGACAATTATAACTGGGAATCTAAAACTCATGTGTTAAACTTGTGGCGGTCGTGTGGAGTGGAGTAGTCGATGACGCTTCCAACAGGGATGACGCCATACGGATTGATGGAGGGATGACTTCCATAGTAGTGCTTTTTGATGTGGTCCATGCGGACGGTGTCCGAGATCCCATCCATCTGGTACACGTCCTTGACGAAGTTGAAGAGGTTTGGGTACTCACGGATCAGCTTCTTGTTGCACTTGAAATGAACAACATAAACCTGGCATAGGTGATGAATTTGAATAAAACTTCGAGAGAAAGCAAGAAAAAAAAAACACCCCAGAGCTTACTTCGTCGAATCTTATCAGCGTCTTGAAGAGCCGGAGATCTGCCTCGGTGAAAACGTTTCCGCACAGATACCTCTGCTTTGAGAGGATATCCTCGCAGCGATCCAGCGCATTGAACAGAGCCTCAAACGCCTGCGACAAGGAAAAGAACTTGGATTCATGGCTTCCGAACGAAGAAAAACTAAAGAAGAAAAGTTCTGAAGATTTACCTCCTCATAAGGCTTCTGCTTGGTTGCAAAGCCACAGCGATAAACTCCGTTGTTGATGGAGTCATACACCCAAGCGTTCACTTCATCAATCTTGGCCTGGAGATCTCTCGGGTAAAGGTCGAAGTCGGGACGCTTTGCAAGATGGTTGAACTCGCTGTTGAGCATGCGGATGATATCAGAGTTCTCATTGTTCACGATAGTTTTCTTTGCTTTGTCCCAAAGAACCTGTTTACGTCAGGCAATCAAGCTCTGAAAACCTTGAAAGGAAAGAAAGAAACGAAGAAAGAAAGGTAGCGAGTACTCACGGGAACAGTGTACTTTCCAGTGTAGTTTGGATTGGCGATGTCGTAAAGTTCACGGACAGTCTTGGCATTGTTTATGGGGTCAGGCTGAGCACCAGGTTCCTCGTTGTCAGAGGAAGGAAACGTCCATCCAAAGTGACCCTCGCCTTCTTTGGTTCTCTCCCACTTTGGTTTTGTGGACTACACGTTACGAGAGAAAGGTGTGAAGATCATCCTCAAGAAAACAAAAGAAGAAGCTTCTAGCACTTAGAATTGTCCAAAGCAACAAGAATACATGCCAACCATATGAAGCACAAAAATCGAAGAAAACAACACTTAGATGTCACAAACAAACCATATGAAGCACAGGAAATCAAAGAAAACGCTAGCTTCATGCAAGAGCGAGAAAGCTTCTAACTTCCAAAAGAAAGAAAGAAATTCTTTGACATACCGTGACGCCAATAGCATGGTCTAAGCCCTTGAGCTTGAGCGTAGCGAAGCACCGGGAAGCCCAGGGACACGCATACGAGATGTAGAGATGGTACCTATCGGCCACGGCCGGAATATCACACCCTTCTTTGCTAGAAATCCAGCTGCGAAACGATGACTCGGTGCGCTTGAATTCCCCATCCGTCGATGTCTCATCGATCGCCGTCTTTCCCATCGCTCGTCCAGCTCCAAATCGCCTCTTCTGGATCCGAGCGGCAAATCGCAGTGATCCTCTGGCGATCCCGACGGAGAGAGCCGCCAGATTGACTTCCTGTTGCCCGCAACGTGGCAGGCATTTCTTTTCTACTTCGATTTGGGTTACTTTGGGCTCTGTTTTTTAGGGTTAAAATGCTGGGAGCTGCCCAGCGATGGCGATGGCGTCTCCCGGCGTGGAATCTGGGAAGCAGGAGCTTGTATTCCACGCTCATGGGTATGTTCTTGCGAAATGTAGGTGGATTGAGCTGGAGACATGGATTTTCTATCTCCAGACAAGCATGCGCCCATTCCCGACGATATTTTGCGAATTTTGGAGAAGAGAATGATCTCTATTGAAGACCGCCATGCCTGTCTTTCCAAAGCGCTTCTAGAGGTAAAGTGTAGATTCGGATTTCGTCCTTGAAAATACGATCGTGAATGATTTCAGCCTGGGATTGCGTCAGACGAGCTGATCAAGATGAACAAGGAGCTTCGTAAGCTGGATTACTCCGTGGATATGATCAAGGCGCTGAGAGCCAAAGAAAAGGTTTGACGACTAAAGTTTGGGAAAAAGAGACTCTTTGGTTGAATGCAGGAAGTAATTGGCTTGAAAGAATTGGTAAAAGAGTCCGTTGAAGACGAAGAAATGCGTAGGCTGGCCTCTGGAGAACTTCAAACGGCCACCAGAGAAGTGAGAGATGCTCAGCACGATGTTCTCCTGAAGCTTATTCCTAAAGATGAAGCTGATAGCAGAGGTTGTATTCTCGAAGTCAGAGCAGGCAAGTGCAACCCATAGGCTTCATGTTTGATATGTTTCATCTATCTTTTAGGAGCTGGAGGTGACGAAGCGTCAATTTTTGCATCTGATCTCTTCAAAATGTAGGCACGTCTTTCTGGTGTATGCCGAATGCTTATTGGATTTCTATGAATGCTCTCAGGTATGAGAAATACGCTGCAAACAACTCATGGAGGTTTGAAGTTCTGAGCATTACTACCACCGACACCCGAGGTTACAAGGTAACTATCCGGTTCTCCACGGGCGTATCTAAGCTTGTCTTTATAGGAGGCTAGTGCTGTAATATCTGGAGATGATGTTTATGGAGCTCTGAAGTTCGAAAGTGGCGTTCATCGCGTCCAGGTACGAAAGTAATTACCGTGGTTTCATTTTTTTTATATGCATCCGTGTGCAGCGTGTTCCTGTCACTGAGAAGGCTGGGCGTATACACACAAGTACTGCGTCAGTCGCTATTCTTCCCGAAGCGAATGAGGTTCACTCCAGGTTTACTAAACCTTTGCACTTGCATAGACCATTGATACATTTTATTTTATTTTTCTCGTTTTTCTGTTGCTGAAGTTTGACTATGCTGACAGGTTGATGTCGAGATCCGTAATGACGAGATAAAGATAGACACTTACCGAGCTGGTGGAGCCGGTGGACAGCATGTAAATACTACCTGCAGCGCAGTCCGAGTTACCCACGCTCCAACAGGTATCGTGGTCGCAATCCAAGACGAACGCTCTCAACACAAGGTAGGCCGTTCAACACGCGTGCTTTGCTACAACTGAGCTGAGATTGTATAGAACAAAGCAAAAGCTTTGAGTATTTTATATGCTAGGCTGTACGAGCTCGAGCGGTCCCGAGCAGCGGCAAGTCGGTCTGAATTACGACAAGATCAGGTAATTCAGTTTATTGTCGCAGAACGTTATTTTCTCTACTTTTATAAATTGTCACTCCAGATCGGCTCAAGCGACAGATCGGAGCGCATAAGAACGTATAACTTTCCCCAAGGTCGGGTAACTGATCATCGAGTGGGAGTGACGCAACACTCGATTGAGCAAATTATGGAGGGGATTGGTCTGGAAATTTTTGTGAATGCGCTCAAGATGCAGCACGAAGCGAGCGCTTTGGCGTCGCTCAAAGCTGCAGCAGCTTGACTACCCATAAGTTTCACTTTTTTTTTCTTCCTATGTTTTTTTAACGTGTCAGATGTTGACAATTGGAAGCATTTGTTTGAACGTCAGGTGAGTGTTCTATTATAAATGGCAACAGCACTGACTTGTTTCCATGCACAGGACCGTCATCGGATCAATGAGCGTGGACGGCACGAAGCTGATCATGTAGGCCTCTTTCGTGCGACGATGTGAGCTAAAAAATGGAGTGGGGGAAGTCAGAGGTGCCAGGCCACCTACTTAAACGTTTCTCCTGAAAGAATCAACATCTTGGTCAGTAGCAGAGGAGGATGGTTGATGAAATGACGGCTGCCGATGGGACGCTACGGGTGGTTTCTTTTCCTTGGTGCATTAAGTTCCGGAGCGTTTGCAAGAATCTCTTGAAGCGGATGAAACTCATCGGTAGAAGGTCGTCAACTCGTGGGGTGCTGGTGAAGAGGAGCAGCAACAGCAGCAACAAGCACATGATCAGTTGGACAGCGAGCTTTGCATACAGGCAGCAGCAGAAGCAAAAGCTCAAGAAGTCGGGAAGCAGTTTATGGTCGTTTGGTGGCTACAGCAAACTCAAGAACAGTGATAGCTGCACGGAAGCTTTAGATCGCCAGGAAGTCGTCCACCGCAACTTAGAGGACTCTCAGGCTTCGTCCAGCAGCTTCTCGTTCAAGAATGATGCGGAGAACCTTGGGCATGGCAAAGGCAAGGAGATTTTGTCACCGCATCCTGGCGTGCAGCGCAGCGAGGCTATGAAGCTCAAATCGAGGTGGGACGAAGTGGTGGAGATGGTTGTAGCGGACAGCTTTGATGATTTGGTGGACTTGGAGGAATTTCTGGGCTACTATATGCTGCTGAATTGCCCCGTCTTTCGAGCCATGGTGCAGAGGTTTTTTAGCGAGTTTTGTGTGGAGTTTTGCGAGGACGAGGAGCTTCTAGCCGTCAGCTTGTTCGTCCCAGAAATGCAGGATTTTCCCTCTTTTGGGAATTCTTCTGAGAGGGAATTAGAATGCTTGCCGCCATCGCCTTGCTAGTTTAAAGGAATAACGTTTCTCGCTCCTAAAGAGAAAAAAGAGAAAACATCGGTCTAGTAAAGCATATTTTCACCATAATGTATAAGGTAGAAAATAAATATGCACTCCATGACTTTTACTTTACATTTTAAAAAGTTTCTAAAATATTAAAGAGTCTTACCTCCATAAAGGTTTGAATAAACAATAGATTAGTTTTGGTTTAAACCAGACGAAAAGGTCGCCTCTTGCTACTCACAAGAAAAAAGTACCAGTCACTGAAAGTTTCACCTCTCCTCATCTCTCAGGAATCCACCTCTTTTGGTTTAAGCTTAATTTCGCCACAACCAGCTTGCTCTTGCTGCTCCGCCCAGCACGAGTTTGTGCTAGCCCGCACGACAAAAACAAAATAGATTTTGCCCTTGTTGTAAACTCTGTATGGATCAGCAGGAAATCTGATCCAGAAGATAATCTTGTTGTGGGCTAGTGACATGGATTAAGTGGTCTAAAGTCTCTTCCGTACTAAAGCCTTAAAAAGCTTTTCACAGAAGTTTAAGTTAAAACAGAATGCCGCATGGATTGTGCATTGCCATGAGGCCTTGCGCAGATTTTACTCATAAAATATACTTTACATTCCAACAAATATTCTGATATGGTATCAGAATATTTGTTTGAATGTAAAGTATATTTTCATCGCCCTTAATAGCATACCTAGATTATTTGGTACAGTAAGAAGAGAAAAATGAGAGACGTGTTGGTCAAGGACATCCACCATCTCCAAAATTACCCAATCTTTGGTTCACAGACATCACAGCAGGCTTTTGCTACGTTTGGGAGCGTGGGGGAGCTCATGGCCTTCTTGCGACAGCAGCACCCGCTCTGCCCACACGGCTGCGATAGCTCGGCACTCACCAAGTTTGACTACTTCGAAAACCACATGCTGATCCAGCCGCGCTACAAGTGCACGGTGTGCAAACGGCACTTCACCCTGGGTGGCACAATACGAGCGAAACGAGCCAAGAAAGAAGATGGCGGTCGTCCAAGGAAGAGACCCAAGAAGGAGCAGCAGCAGAACAAGTCAAGGGGGCAGTGTCTTCCTCGCGAGATGTTGCCTTCGTCGACGATTCCATCGGCCGCAACCAGTGGGAGTCGCGGTTGTGCATCCCCGCGCAGGGCAAGTCGCGGAGCTTCGAGGAGAACGGCGAGGCCATCACCAAGCACTACAGGTCAATGCCCTAGTCAACTCGTGGTCCGGGATCAGTCGTTGCCAGTCAACGCCTGTGACCTCGAGGGATACGTGCAAGACGAGGAGATCTTCCAGGAGGTTGAGAAATTGTGGTGTAAAATGGATTTGGAGGACAAGGGTCCTTCTGTGGAGGACGAGGAGAAGAACTTTCTCAGGGATTTCAATGTCGATGATGGTGATGATCGAGATTTACTACTGGGTCTTGAGGAGTTCAGCGGGGAGGACGAGGAGAAGAACTTTCTCAGGGATTTCAATGTCGATGATGGTGATGATCGAGATTTACTACTGGGTCTTGAGGAGTTCAGCGGGGAGGACGAGGAGAAGAACTTTCTCAGGGATTTCAATGTCGATGATGGTGATGATCTAGATTTACTACTGGGTCTTGAGGAGTTCAGCGGGGAGTTCAGCGACCCACAGGGTCAGGGTGCTCGATTCGATTTGGGCAAGAAGCAAAACAATTTTGCCATGGAGTTGGTGCAGCAAATGGAGGAAGATTTTCCCGTCCCAGTAGTAGATGAGGAGAATGATTTCGCCATGGAGTTGGAGCGGGAAATTGAGGAAGCATCTACGACAGCAAAGGAGCAAGCAATGCTTGTATGGAGAAACGAAGTGCGCAAAATTCGGAATCAAGACAATCTCACATTTGGTGTTGGAAGTGCCCAAACTCTTAAATGCTGATCGATCAGCAAAAAATGGATGATAAATGAAAAGCATTAGTGAATAGAAGTAATTTTGTTTTTGGAACAAGTTCATTAAGAGTTTTTCATGAAAAAAGACTCACCCATCCCTTGTGAAAGAAAGAAAAAAAGAAATTAGGGCGAATTAGGTCTCCATAAGGTCGTCCCCGGAGGCAGAGGAGCCGCGATGCTGTGATTGTCAACCGAGCAGGTATTCTGGTGGCACCAATCGCGCTCTCGCCGACAATGCAGCGATCGTCCTAGCGATCGATCGATCGATCGATCGCTCGCTCGCTCCGGAGAAGAGCAGAGAAATGATCTGGGCAGGATTCGCGTACGCCGCGGGCGCCGCGATCGGCCACAGCTGCATCGATGCCAGCAGGAAATGGGCGTCCCAGCGCTTCTCGGACCGCGAGCTCGTAGCTCTGGTGGCTCTCCTGGACGCGCTGCTCCTCTCCTCCATGGCGCTCCTCTCCGGCGGCTTCGATCTCTTCTCTTTGACGCGGCTGGACACCGAGTACGTCGCCGCGCTCCTCGTCACCGCGGCGATCAAGGCTCTGGTGGGGTTCATGTACCAGCGTGCTCTCCACGTCTCCCCTCTCTCGGTCACTGTTCCTTATCTAGCTTTCACTCCAGTTCTTCTGGTTTTTACGAGCTATGTGATCATCAACGAGCTCCCGAGCTCGCAGGGGCTCATGGGAATCGTGGTGGTCACTCTCGGCGGCTACTTCCTCGCGCTTGATCACCCGGCGGAGGTGGAGGTGAAGAAATCCGACGAGCCCCCGGGCAAGATCGTCTCGATTCTTCCTTTGCTTCCTTGGAACTCGTCCAAGGCTTGTGACAAGGTCCCAAAGTTTTCCACCGATGGCGATGGTGTCGTGCTGGATCTCAGTGAGAAGAACTCCCCTCCGGTGGCGATTCCTGGAGGGAATTCTTCCTGGTGGCCACAGATTCAATGGTAAAGATTTCTCTCTTTTTTTCTTCGCTTTTCCTGTTCTAAAGTTTGCAAAAGGGAAGAGGGGACGCTTCTCATGCTGGGTGTTGCAGCGTTACTGAGCATAAGTAACAGGTTCGTTTTCTCGAGATTCATTTATGGCTTCTTAGCTCCATTGTCTTTGCAGCCTTGACAAAATGGCTGGTCACTTGGCACCATCGCTTCTCAATTTTGCTGCTCTCCAACGAGGCTTTACGGCCGTTCCCGTGGTTTTATATCTACTTGTCACAAGGTTGGCTTGTTTATCTCTCTCAGGTGATAGCTTAGCTGACTCCTGCGTTCTCTTTTACAGCCCAAAGTCGTTCTCGCTTTTGATTCACTTCTTTCCAGTGCTGCTGGCCATCTCTCTGTTTGAGGTTGTAGCCTTCATTTGCTACCTCAAGAGCTTGGAGATCCTGCTCGTCTCGTACGCTGTTGCGGTAAGCAATCTCTTCAATCTTCTCTTCTCTTTTCTCCATTTCTTTGGTCTTTTCTCTCCTTTGTTTCTGGCTCAAGAAAAGCAAACCGGGGACTTTTCTAATGCGGACTTTGAGTGCAGGCTAAGCGCAGCAACGTGCTACTCTCAGTTTTGATAGGAAGAGTGATGTTCAAGGTAGGAAATGGTCGTCCTGCAGCGTTTGGAATTGTCTTCCTTTTGACTCGTTTGACGTCCTTTGCAGGAAAAGATATGGAGGCGATTGCCATTCATTTTGATGATGGTTGGCGGAATGACGCTCATTTTGCTGGCTTAAAGCGAATTTCGTTTGTTCCTCTGCGCTGGTAAACCCTAAACCTCGAACAAAAGGAGGAGGGCGAAGAAAATTCTTGTTAGTTTGAACTGTGGATATATCTTGTAAAAACTAGTCATTCTATTTTCTAGGGTTAGGTTATGGGAGCACTGGGCTGGACAAGGGCGGATTTTCTTCCCCCTCTCCCTCCCTCGCCATGGCCATCGCCATCGCCATCGCGGCACAAGATTTCGCTCTTCTTGACAAATGGGAGAAATGCGCCCGCGAGGAGGACCCGCTTGTGCTCCCAGTCGTCATCCAAGCAGGAATCTGGCGCAGAGGAATCCGCGCGCATCGTGCCTCTTGATTTGCCGGTCCAGGAAGGATCCCAGGAATCCCAGGACTCCTCAGCGCAGGGCGAGCTTCGACAAGCTCGCGGGCAGCAGGAGCAGCAAGAAATTGGCGAAGCTCTGCGGGAGCTGAGAAAGCAGGCCGCGCCATCGCCAAGCTCGGTGGGATTTTGGGAGGGATTGGCGCAGGAGATTGGGATGATCGAGTGGCCAAATCCGGGCAAAGTGTTTGGGACCACGGTGGTAGTCCTTAGCATCATCTTTGCTTCCTCAATCGTGCTGCTCACTGTAAATTTCCTCCTGGCTGAGCTCTCGGACGTAGTCTTCAAGACCCAATAGAGATAACGCGCCAATGAGGTGGCACCGTGTGGCGCCTTTCATGCTGACACGGCTGCTGTGTCATCATCAATTTTGCCACCTTTTGGAAAAACAAAGCTTTGCCTCAAATTTTTCTTTTCGCAATTCTCACAGAAAATCCACAGTAAAAACCTGCGAGTGTACAATCTTGGAAAAACCGCGTTGTTTCTTTATATATGTATTTACGTATGTTGTTGAAACTCTTCTTCTAGTAGGATTGTTGTTGGTCGATCGTTGTCTCGCTCTCCAAGAACCAAAAAAAAAAAAACACAAAATAATCCTCTTCTCAGGGGAAAAGGAGAAGAGAAAGCAATACCTCCACAGCGATTCACTCGATATAAGATAGGATCGATCGTCGCTGATACTCTGGAGAGGTGGCAGCAGCGCTGTTGTGTCTGCCTCTGGATTGAGCTCGAGCTGCCGTGGCCGGGGCGCATCTGTCCATCGCCAGACACGCTTTTGTCCGCTTGAGCTGCTCGTAGCATCCCTTTCTATCCGCCACCACACCACTGTTATTGTCCCTGTTGTTGTTTGTGGTGGTGTTCTTGGAGGACCCATCACTGGCACGAACAGCCGCTGCCCTGTCCGATCCCGGCCCCAGCAATCCTATCTCTCTGTCGTAAGGCGACAGCCACTTGGCGGAGACGTAGTCGAAGGTCCTCCATGGCGGCAGGTGCATCGCGTTCTGCTTGAGCGAGAACTTGGCGGCGTCAGACATCACCTGTAAGACCTGGCGCAGCCTCCGAGGGGTGGCGACCAGGGGCGCGGGGAGAATCCTCACGGCCGCCCTGTAGCTCTGGATCGGCCGGGCAATCTCGAAGTGCGACTGGAAGTCGAGGTCCACAATGAGGCGCTCCGGGGAGGAACCCGAGCCGGATGGCGGGGAGGTTTCGACGTCGATGTACTCGTACTCGCCTGGAAAGATGGACCACGAAGAAGTTTGTGAGTTGCGAGTGACTTAAGTTGTGTGTGAGGTACCTACCTCCAGGAACTCGTCCCACGCTCTGCCATCGCGACTTGCAGATTCCAGCGTCGTACCCGGCTTTTCGCAGGCGTTTCACAAGAAAGGAGCGGAGGCAGCGGCCATTGCAATCAATTCCGCGGTGGCATAAGCCATCCATCCGGTCCTCGGTCATGGAACATAAGATGCGGATCACCGCGCTGCGCAACTCTTTTTCAACGGGTGACGCGGTCGAGATAAAAGCCTGCATTGAAAAAACGCCAAGGGAAAGAATGTCAAAAACTTGTGGTGGCAGTGGCAGCAGGAGCAAAGAAGAAAATAAAATACCACCCTCTTACCTTGAGTTTTTCAAAGAAGACTGCGAACCCAGTGGGTGTTGGGGACTCTTTGTCGCTGCTATCATAGCCATCGCCCCCGTTTTCCATGAAATCGTGAACCATGGCCGCCAAATCATTCTCGCTGTCGCTGCTGCTCATAAGAACAGTGGCGGGGCCATGTATCGTCGTTGGAGCCGCCGCAACCGCCACGAGTTTGGAGCGTGATTTGCTTCGGGCAGCTTGAATTTCCGGCTGGCAATTTCTGATCGCCACCAGAGGAATGCGGCGTGATGAATCCAGATGATCGGGCCCTCGCTGCCAATAATCCCTGTCCCTGCCTCCAAACAGCAGCGCGTCGGCCTCGATCGCTGGAGAGGCGTAGGGAATGCCAGGCATCGCGACGCGAGAATGGAGCAAATCCCTGAAGTGCCTGGATCCCTGAAATTCTACCAAAATTTTCCTAGGAGATCAATCACTCGCGGCGACGGCGGCGAATTCCGGCATCCATACCTGGCAATTGATCTCAATTGCAGGGAAATGCCGGCTGCCGCGGGGAATCACGGGCGATCGACTGCGCGCCATGGTTGCTCGATCGTCCGAGAGAGCCCCAAGGCGCAAGCCCTAAAAAATGCGCCTCTCCAGGCAAGAACTCGAGACAAAGAATGGAAGCACTTTGCAAGTGTGTGCCTTTAAATAGTGGTTTCCGTTTAATGCGGTTTCCACTTTCGTTATTTGAACGGAGAGATTTTTGAAAGTTTCTTTGTCCGCGTAGCGCATCACGTAATATCACCTGTTAGACGTCTTTAACTCGAATTGCGGGGATAGCTCAGTTGGGAGAGCGTCAGACTGAAGATCTGAAGGTCGCGTGTTCGATCCACGCTCACCGCAACGTTTATATTTTCGAATGTTTTAAATTTTTTTTGCGGTAAGAATTTAGGGCTTATGGTTAACCCCTCGGCTATGGCGCTCTTGACGCACGGGTGGGCGCCGTCGTCCTCGCATTTTCACTGCCGCTACCATTCGAGGAAATGCTGGACACCGCTACACTGCTCGGTGGGTTCTGTAGAGGTCGTGACGGCCGGAGAGGATAGAATTCTTGCGAGTAGTGGTGCCAGTGGCAGGGATTTGATCGAGCCCGGGGAGAAACCCTGTTCTACTAGCGAAGATCCAGGAAAGGAAGAGGTTTCTCCTGCGGAGTTTGCCAGGGAAATTGGAAGAAGGCGCAACTTTGCCATAATCTCGCATCCAGATGCTGGAAAAACAACGCTGGTATGTCTCAGTTTTTTGCTTCCTCTTTTGTTTCGTAAGAGGGGATTTTGTGTAGACAGAAAAGCTACTTCTCTATGGAGGTGCCATACACGAGGCTGGAGCTGTCAAAGCTCGGAGAGCTTCAAGGCATGCTACGTCAGATTGGATGGAGCTCGAAAAGCAAAGAGGTGATACTCTCTGTTTGTTTGGTTCTCGGGCTATAATCTTCTGTATAATTCTATCCAGGGATATCTATCACGTCCACAGCCATGGTTTTTGAAACTAGAGGCCAGCTGATAACGTTACTTGACACTCCCGGCCATCAGGTACTTGGCTCTATTTTCTGTTTCGTAGATGAAGTTGTCAATCTAAATAGTAAACTCCAGGATTTTGGTGAAGACACTTACAGGTGGGAGTTCCTTTTTTTAAAGCAAATACCGGTGGTTCTATTTGCTGAAGTTGGATGATTTTAACTTGTAGAACCCTGGCAGCAGCAGATAACGCTGTCATGCTTGTTGATGCGGGGAAAGGCTTAGAGCCGCAGACAAGAAAGTTGTTCGAGGTAACGTAACACTACTTCTTGCTCAAAATCGTTCATATAAACCTTTCGCAGGTATGTAGAATGCGTAAGTTGCCAGTGTTTACAGTCTTTAACAAGCTGGATAGACCAGCTTTACAACCGCTAGAGCTCATCGATGAAATAGAAAAGGAGTTTGAGCTCCCTACTTATCCTGTCAGCTGGCCAATTGGTTCTGGCGACAGGTGTTTTGCTTTGATTTTATTTGATCGTTTTGATTTTAATCACTTACGTTTTGTTTTTGTGCACAGGTTTCTTGGTGTCTACTATAGGCCGAGACGACAGGTTCATCTTTTCGAACGAGGTGGCAAACATGGTAGTGTTGGAGCTGCAGTGCGAGTCCTTGATTATATGGATCCTAGTCTAAAGACAATTATACCCACGGATCTCTACAAACAGCTTGAGGTAGGAGCCTTTCTCCCAGGTTTTTATTGTAAGCATGTTGTGTTCGATCGGAAGCGGCTTACGTAGGAAGAAGTGGAAATGCTGGAAGAGTTGACACCGCCGCTGGACATTTCGAAGGTTCACTCAGGCGATTTGTCACCTGTATATTTTGCAAGTGCCATGAACAACTTCGGCGTAAGTTTCTTGAGAAGTGACTGCCAATTCTGAAAATTTTATTGTTCTTCTGTTGAAGGTTGAGCTCTTTTTAGAAAGTTTTCTAGAGTACTCTGTAAAGCCGGGAACACATTCGAGCGACATTGGTGAGATCCATCCAGAAAACCCATCCTTTTCTGGATTTGTCTTTAAGGTGAATACTATTGTCTTCGTAGAACCATCTAATATGCTCATTGCAGCTACAAGCGAACATGGATCCGAAACACAGAGACAAAGTTGCTTTTGTTCGTGTATGCTCGGGTCAGTTCAAGAAAGGGATGAAAGTTCAAGTGTCCAGAACAGGCAAAACTATCGCGCTGACAAGGCCGCAGAAAATGTTTGCGCAAGATCGCTCCATAGTTGACAACGGATTTGCCGGAGATGGTTCGTTTTATTCTCCCTTCTCTCTCCATCTAACAAGCACGTTGTGTGTTATGGTTGTAGTTATCGGTCTCAATAATCCAAACGCATTTTGCATCGGTGACACAGTTTTCTCTGGCCGACAAATACGTTACCCAGGAATTCCATCCTTCTCCCCAGAACTCTTCAGCTACATGCGAAACACGAACCCGGCAAAGTACAAGCAGTTCCAGAAAGGCATTAACAAGCTTCTCGGTGAAGGAGCTGTTCAGGTTTTTTAACTTGAAAAGCTCAAATGGATTGATTACTATTGTTGATAATCAGGTGCTCTACTCAGTCGACGCAGGAAAAAACGATCCGATTCTAGCAGCAGTGGGACAATTACAGTTTGAGGTACGTCACCATAAAGCTCCTTTGTTTCCATATCCAAAACCTGGATCAGGTAGTGCAATATCGGATGCTAAACGAGTACGGTATCGAAACCAAGCTGGAACCTCTTGGTTACAGCGTTGCTCGGTGGGTAACAGGAGGATGGCCTGCGATCGAGAAAGCTGGAAGACTCTACAACTGCATGGTTGTCAAGGACCAGGTTTTGAAAACTCTAAACTCTACGCAGATTTCTTTGAGAAACTTATGCACTCCTTTTTGTTGTTTCCAGTGGGGACGTCCCGTGCTTCTCTTCCGCAACGAATGGAATCTGACTCAACTTATGGTAAGTTTCAAGCGCTGGAATCAAAATCAAAGTGATAAGTCTGACTGTATTTCAGGGCGACAACAAGGACATTGGTGATCTGGTTCCCATCGCATTGCCTCCCGAAGAGAAAACAAGAAAGTAGTCCAGTGCCAATCCATTCCAGCGGGTAGCATGCGATCATCAAAGTGTTCTAACGCGTGTCAGGGATAAGCTCGCTCTACCTACGTGTTCTCTTGATCCGAAGAATACATTCTTATCATCTATATCATACAAGACAATATATGATATAGAAAATGTATGGAAAATTCAAAGCGATCGAATTTCTAAAGCTTGCTGTTCTCTTCATCCAAAGAAAAGATGCTTATCATGAAAAATTCAACGCTATCAACCTTTCATAGATTCTCTTAGTCAAAAAGTTCTACAGGTAAAGCGGGGATAGCTCAGTTGGGAGAGCGTCAGACTGAAGATCTGAAGGTCGCGTGTTCGATCCACGCTCACCGCATTTCTTTATATGGCCTTTGGTATCGTTTAGTGGAGCATTTCCAAGTTTTATAATGGTTTACCTCTGGTCGATTCAACAAACGCGGAAAGGGATCTTTTGTTACAGCGCATGGAATCGATTGTATAACATCGCCAGATTATTCCCATTCAAAAGTTTGAAGCACATGTGTTACATGGAAATGCCATCCAAATAGTAAAACTCCTGCGCCACGTCACAGTGCCGACGTGGAGCTTCGATCTCCTGCCTTGAAATTTCTCGCGGCTCGCATTTGTCGGCGCAACCCTAAAAGAGTAAAAGAGTTTTTAGCTTCTTTCCCCTCCATTCAACGCTTGCCGCCGGCCAAGAAGGCGCGATCAGCTTCTTTCTCATCGATCGATCGACCGATCGATCGCGCGCGGCGGGGCGGATTGTTGTTGGATTGGATCGTTGGATCGTCGCGTCGGCGTCGGCGGCTATGGCTTCTGCGTTTCTTGCAAACAGCCCTTGCTCCCCAATGCTCGGGAGAATCCAGCTCCGTAGCGAATGCAGAGCTTGTGGCTTGGCTCTTGGATCGTCGCGCAAGCGCGGATTTTTGCCGGTGACGGCCAGTGTCGCCGAGCACCTCACTTTCCCCAAATCTTCTCCTTCCGACTACGAGGTATGGATGAAGTTCTTTGTGTTGATTTCCTCTTCTTTCTTTGTTGTAATTCTTTTGATCTTCTCTCCAGGCCGATCTTAGAAAACTTTTATCGGGACGCGACGTTCTACACTCTCGAGCATTCCAGCTCCATAGCTCCAGGCCTGAAGAACGCTTGAAAATTTTCTCTGGTACTGCCAACTTACCGTTAGCCACGGTACACTCTCTTTGTTCTTCCGGTTCCTTACGAACTGACGCTCGCGCTTTCAGGAAATCGCGTGCTATATGGGCCTCGAGCTGGGCAAAAGAACGATCAAGCGGTTTGCCGATGGTGAAATCCATGTCCATCTCGAAGAGAGCGTTCGCGGCTGTGATATTTTCTTGGTCCAGCCGACTTGTCCTCCTGCCAACGAGAACTTAATGGAGCTGTTTGTGATGATCGATGCTTGCAGACGCGCGCATGCTAAAACGATCACTGCCGTGATTCCATACTTCGGATATGCTAGAGCTGACAGAAAGGTAGCGAAGTTTCTCATCTTAGTTTTCTTCGGATGTTCTAACGCTGGCGATTTCTTTCCAGACTCTTGGTCGAGAGTCGATTGCTGCAAAGCTTGTAGCGAACCTTATAACTGAGGCAGGTGCAAATCGTGTTCTTGCGTGTGATCTTCACTCTGGACAAAGTATGGGGTACTTCGATATTCCTGTTGATCACGTCTATGGACAGGTATGTGCGTCATATTTTTCTCAACGTCACCATTCCCGTATAAAATCTCTTTGCTCTTTCTTGCAGCCTGTCATTTTGGACTACCTTGCCAGCAAAATGATCTCCGCAGATGACTTAGTAGTAGTTTCTCCAGATGTTGGTGGTGTCGCAAGAGCTCGGGCATTTGCCAAGAAATTGTCTGATGCCCCGCTTGCCATCGTCGACAAGCGCAGACAAGGTCACAATGTTTCAGAGGTAGACGGCATCCTCTTCTGGCTGTTTTCTCATGCGTGTTGATTTGCTACTGCAGGTCATGAACTTGATTGGCGATGTCAAAGGCAAGATCGCGATTATGGTCGATGACATGATCGACACCGCTGGTAGGCCCGAAAGCATGGTTTTGATGTTCTTTACACGTTTCTTTCCAGGAACAATAACAAACGGAGCAGCACTTTTGCGCCAAGAAGGTGCAAAGGCGGTCTATGCTTGCTGCACACACGGCGTTTTCAGGTAAAGAAGTTGATCCATTTTTTTCTTTTTTTTCTTTTTTTTTTTTGTTTTCTAACTCTATTCGGCCACTCGAAGCCCACCAGCGATCGAGAGGCTCTCTGGAGGCCTGTTCGAGGAGGTGATAGTGACCAACACCATACCAGTGAAGCACAGCTTCAAGCAGCTCACGATTCTCTCCGTCGCAAATCTCCTGGGCGAAACAATCTGGCGAGTCTACGATGATAGCTCCGTGAGCAGCATCTTCAGATAACGAGGGCTGGAGAAGGAAGAATCAAGAAAAAAAAAAAATTCTTATGCTTTTTAGAATTTTTTGCTGCCGAGTCGTGCTCGGTGACGACGATGATGAAATCCACTGCGGAAATATTTCCTCGTCTTTGTAAAGAAAACTAACTGTTCTTCTGTCTAAACTTTTCGTTTGACCTAAATGTCTATGTCGCGGGTTCGAATCCTTTCGCGCCGCATTTATTGTGAAGAGGTGCAAACGTTTTGTTTCCAAGGTTCTGGGTTAGGGTTTATTGCCAGGCGGAAGTGGAGCGCTCGCGCGATCGATTGATCGATCGACTGGTCTTCGCTGCTGATTTATGTCTTCGGCAAAGGATCAGCAGCAGCAGCCACAGCCACAGCCGCATCAGCAGCAACAGCAGCAGCAAAATTCGACCGGCGGCAGCAATTGCTGCTCCTCGAGGTATGGGTATGGCGACGTGAGCAGCGCCGATGTCCACCTAGAGCTGGTGCCGATCAGCGGAAATCCACTGCCGCTCCTCCACCTCCACTCCCACGTCCTCCGTCGATCGGAATATTTCGAGGCACGCCTCTCGGAGCGCTGGAACAATGTGAGCGGCGGCCGCCCAATCGAGCTGTGCCTCGACAAGTGCAAGGATCCCACTGCCTATGTCCGCTGCTTCGAGGTCCTCTACGTCCCCGATCGCCTCAAGCTCTCGGCCTTTGCGGATGTCCAGGACGCGCTCACCGTGCTCGAGGTAGCGGCGGAGCTCCTCCTCCACGAGTGTGTGGCGGCGTGCATGAAGTACCTGGAGGCTGTTCCATGGACCCCCGACGCCGAGGAGGCGATCCGGAGCTGTGTGTCGTCGCTCCACTTGCGACCCAGCCCGGATCTGGCTGCTAGGCTGTGTACTCTTGGGAGCATGCCCGATTGCAAGCCCGTGGACGTGATGAAGGAGGTGCTGGGAGAGCTCTTGTCGCTCGTCTCCAACGGAGCTCCTCCAAAGGCCCGGGACATCACCGAGAGAGTTCTTCTCGCCAACGTCCAGGCCCCGGCGTCGTCGGCCTTTGCCGCGGTGAACGAGGTGGCGCTCTTCAAGGAGGTCCAGACCAACTTGGAGGCGCTCAAGATCCAGCTCAACAAGTTCGTCAACTTCTTCTCCTGGAACTCCCACCAGGTGAATGTGGCGTGCTCGGCTCTGCGGTGGCTGCTCGAGGAGCTGTTCTCGCTCCAGATTGCGGAGACGGCGATCAAGATGCTGGCCGAGGAGGAGGACCTGGCGCAGCTGATGGTGTCGAGGATCTACCAGAACCCGTTCACCGAGACGCTGTTCTGCATCCTGGTGAGGATCTTCCAGGCGCTGCAAAAGGGAGAGGTGGTGGTGGCCAGGAACTTGAGGCTGGCGCTGGTCACGACTTGGCTGCCGGTGATCGCCAAGCTCGTCCACGACGCGGACGATAGCATGGGTAAGGACAACGAGCTCCAGCGGAGCTTGGAGGAGGGGCTGAGCGCGGTGGTGGCGACGCTGCCGCTGGTGGACCAGGAGGCGGTGTTTAAGATCTGGATCGGTTCGTGTCTCAAGAGCAGGAAGGCTTTCCCCGACTTGAGCGACGCTTTCGAGAGCTGGTGTTGCAAGCTCCGGCAGGCCCAGCTGGACAAAGAGCACGACGGTGGCGGGCCGACTATGGCTGCCTCGACGCCGAGCAAGGGAGAGAGCTTCGCCACGACGTTGGAGGAAGCTCACTAAGCTTGGAGCGATGGAGCAAACTGTGTATACTGTACAGGCTGCGAGTAAGGTACGTTACGCATTTCTCGCTTCTAGACTAAGTTCTTCTCTCGGTCTCACGCAGGTTTTTCTTTTCCTTCGTTTTTTTCAGCGATCGATCGATCAGGGAATTCTTTTGTTATCGTGTATAGTGAATGAGGGAAGAAAAATTTCCATCGAGTGATTGTATCTTTGTAACAGGATCGAAGTTTTGCTCGTCCGTCAAACGAAATCTTTGTTCCTTCTCGAAAAGTGAAGTTGTTTGTTGCCAGGAACCCTAATTGAAAGGCTTGTGATACTACAAAATTAAGGTGTTTAAAACCTACAAAAATCATGCAAGGAGTGTGGGAACATGTGCAAATCTATTGCAAAGATACCATGAACATTGGCGTTGAGGAAAAAACAGCCATTCATCATGTTTTGAAGGTACTTTCATGTTTGCTTTGTTTTGTTTTTTCCTCTCTATTGACTCTTTATCTGTTCTTAGCTTATTGAGGATGGCTTTATGAGAGAACTGAAGTGTCTGATCCAAGAGTAAGTGAGGACTTAGCCAGTGTCAACGTTACAGCAGGAAACAAACTAGAGAATTTATCAGATATAAAACAGCTAGACACATAATCAGTCACATGTCCATGTGAACGGTGAGGAGCTGACTGTGATAAAAGGTTAGCCCCAATGGATATTGACAGCTGTAAGGAGTTGGTAATCCTTGAACTCCTAACAAATTGATTAGTGAGATGCATGAAGGGACTTGCAATGTATAAGACACTAGAGGTAAGTGATAGGCCTAGAGAGCAGATAGGTGAAGGACCTGGTAGTGTATAGGAGACATCAGAGATAAGTGACAGTACAGAGACATGAACAGCATCAGTAAACCGCGCTAATAGTAAGCAGCAAGTCCAAAACTCGATTCATTGGGACCTGTCTGCCAAGCTGATTGTAACTGATATTTTGTATTTATTGCTTGATAACAGTGATCGAGTAATAATTCATTCACTTCTAGACATCAATTTAATTTGAGCCAAGGAACCCAGTTAAAGGAGAAGTTCTATCAGCAATTGCAAAATTGGTTCAACTTCCAGCAGTTATAGCAATAGAAGAAACACCAAATGCTAGTAATTTCTAGTAGTTTTACAAGAATGTTCTATGTTTGATTTATAGTTTGGTGAAGGGGCTTGTTGATGGTGCAAAGCGACAAGATCGATTATTTTATATCCACATTAATGATACATTAAAATTTCTATCTTTCTCTGCATTGACATAAGAGTACACTATTAACAAAACTATTTATAGGCTAATTTATGAACAAAATATACAATCGTGATAAATAAAACAAAGTTGAAATGACAATAAGACTACCTTATAAATTTTCATACAAACTTACTAGTTTCGTAAATTTTATAATTTTAGAATAAAATTAGTTGCAGAATTTTAATTTTTGTTAAAAATTAGTTCATTTTAATACAAATTTAAAAAAATTATTCACTTCTTACCACGTTTTTTCTTATTGAGCATGTTCAAGCAATTGCATTTACCATATAACCATTATTCTTGACAAAAACACAGATTTAAATTCTAGCAAATTATAATTATAATATCCTTATAAGGCAAACTTTATAGTGGTAATAAATTCTAATAATATAAGAAATAAATTTATTTAAAGTCATTTCTACTAATTTACAAATAAATTGAAATTTGGAACTTCGTTTACTTATCAATAATAAAAGTATAGGAAAAAAAATTTAACTCAAATATATAAAAACAATATAGAGCACTTTTTCATCAAAAAGTCTCGTTAAGTAATCTACTTTAATTTTCATTTTTGAGAATTACACTAAGATTATCAGTTTTTTAATTAGCTTTTATTGTCATCATAAATTTGTTAAACCAACTTAGCATATTCATACAGTTAACAGAACTAATGCTATAAGATGAAGTTTTAAATAGATTTGCAATATGATAATTATGGTGATATATTAGATGTATCATATCTTCAATCACTTTCAATTAGCAATCTTATAAAATTTATATATTCTGTTAAATTATATTTCACTAAAAGCCTAAAATATTAAGAGTAATATTTGTATGCTCAACTATAAACCTGTAATTTTTTCCTAAAGATGATTTTAATTTTTTATTTAAGTTTATCATATTTCTCCTTCTTTTTATAGTCAAGATGGAATTTTGACAAAGTTTTAACTTCTTCTTGAAAGAACACATCTTTATCAACTATAAATATCAACTCTTTAAGTTTTTTATGGTAGTAACCAAATTATAAAATACTTATGATAGCCTTTATTTCATATACATTTTCAATTTATGTTGTCGTGTGTATTACTATATTTATAAAAACAGCTTGTTGATTCTCTAATATAAAGAACATTTAAACCATCAATAGAAAAATAAATAGAGTATATCTATAGCATTACTACTAATGCTTATTAATCCATCATTTTATAGCTTAATCTATCACTATAGTTGAATTATATATTTATAAAGTAAAGGGATATTATAATTTAGCAATTCTTCATCATTTTACTTCTTAGAAAATGGTTTTGTCTTTGCAAATAATAGATAAATGCAAAAACAAATTAATATCATACTGGATATAGGAATAAGTATATTAATTAGGGTTTAGATTCTTGTTTATATTTCAGAATGGATGGACCATATTCAAACTTAATGAATGATCCATATACTATACTATTATAAATAATGTATAACCTAGGTAAGTGTGTATTTACAAAAATTACACCATCCTCTTCTCCAAACGATGAAAAAATGATGATGGTGGAATATTTAAAGTTTTTGCCAGGCTATTATAGATTGTTACAAAAACTTGAAACTCCCAAAGAACCACCAATGTAACTATGAATAAAATAAAACTCAAAGCACAAGCACCAGTTGATTATAGAAATAATTATATATCTAATAAATTTATCATGAACAATATTTTTTTATAAAATTACTAAAAATAAACTATATATAAGTGGGTGATAGCATTTTCAAAATTTAAATATTAAATTCACAAAGAGTTTATACTATGCTATGTATTTATATCATTATCATAATTACTCATTGTACACTTTCATTCAAATGGTGATAAATATAATTTAAAAATTCTCTAAATCTATTTGATAATTTGCTATGAAACTTGGTATGATATTTTAACTATTATATTAGTACAAATAATATTGAAATATTGTTCAAAGGTTTTTATAAAATACTTTAAAAAAAACACCATCTTTAGTAGCACTGAAATAGAAATTAATTTCCTTCAATAATTATAATTTTAATAAACAGAAATATTTATGTAATGGAACTGAGGACTTATATTGAGTTTGTAGACTAATTTTAGACTCTTACAATTACTAGAATCATTAATTTATTACTCTCAAAAATACAATAACCAAAACTTTTGAGAAAAATAATGATTTGTTGGAAATTAATTTAATTATAATTTATCTTAGAGTCTTGAAATTTTTAAATAAGAATTTTTAACAATTGAAATGAAGAACAACTATTAATTTGGTGCCTTCTAATATAGTTTAGAGTGAAAACTACTAATCCACTATATTAATTAATTCTTGCAAAGATCAACTAGAGAATGTTCTTATAAGTATAAAATTACCCTTAAGTACATCTAAAAGACGTTTATTTTAAAACTATTTAATGCATATTAAAATACAGAAACAAAAACCTTACAATCTGATATTCCGAATATCCCTCCCATAAAACCACCCATATAAAAAAAATTCTACTCAATATGGTATTGAACCACCCCTCAAATGCACAGACCATATTTGACACTATAGAAGTAAGTGACCTCCTTGGGTAGCTCTTGGAGTGGCGAGGTGGGGTTTCTCTCCAACTAAACAGATGTTTATAAAATTATAATTGGTTCCAAGTCGTTTTAATACTCATAATTTTCAAGTTTAGAATTTAAATCACTATGTACTCAATACAAAATTTTTAGAATTTATAAGAAATAACCATTCAAAACATTCAGCACCATTCTCTTTTTTTTCACTCAAGTTATCATGTTGTTGAATACAGTGAGATCTCTCTCTCTCTCTCTCTCTCTCTCTCTCTCTCATACACACACACACACACACATAAATTCACAAGTAAAAACTTACATTTTCTTTTACCTAGTATGCAAAATATTTTGTCTAAATCAAACCTTAACAATAGCCCTACCTGTACAAAAAAGTCCAGCTGATCAAATAGTGCGTTCTGGGATCATCTGAGGGCCTCAGGATTCCCTTTGATCACGTTGCAAAGACTTCTCAAGCTCAAGCTGAATCCGCTTCAAACGTAGTAGATACGGGAACACCTTGTTGTACAACTGAAAAAGGTAAATCCATTGGAGAGTGTGCATAAGAGTATGGTGTGCTATATGCAACACTCGTACTTTCACAATGGGCCATACACGAGGTGAAAATGTGGTAGAACTAAGATCTTCGTGGAAGTGGAAGAAGATGCACTGTCAATTGGATATGTAATGCCAAACAACTGGCTGTTGTCTTCCCTGGTTGCCAAAGACATGCATTGAAAGTCGAAAGAAAAAATCAAAACTTACTCTTGGTTGGTGGCATGGATTCAAAAAGCATCGTTCTCAACTGAGCTTGTGTTCTCCACAATCCTGGAGTGTGCTTGAGCATCTGCCATCACACTAGCAGTCATCAAACTTTTCTATGCTATATGGCAAGCACTAATGAACAAGTAACCTTACTGCATTTTCAACTTTGATGAGATTGGGATCTGTCATGTTGTGTCTAAAAAGCGAGGAGAGTGGTTTATGCTGTAGCTACTAATGGAAGTAAGCTCCTGAATCACAACATTTAAAGGGGAAAACCAAGTAGGCTGGTTAGAGAGCTATGTGAGCAAGGAGGATCCATGCACATGGATGAGCAATAATGGGCTTGTCATCTCATGTGGCATCTCTTTAATAAATCTCATAGTGGTGAGGCTGTTGTGGAGAAGGCATTTGAGTTCATATTTCAGGCAGAGGGAATAAGATTACCACATACCTCATACAACCTCTTGACATGAGTTACCTTCCAAGGTAAATATTTGTGCCAAGTACATGGAAGTAAGATTTGATAGCTGCACTCCCACAAAGATCTTAGTAGAAATAAAAAGACCAGAAGTGTTGAGATATGCAAAACCTTCAAAAACATGTATTATAACTCACTCCCATCCGGCCCAGGGTGTGGCCGGTGCCAGGGATAGGCAGCTAATGGTATGTTGGAAGAACACCTGGATCAACATCCTAGCACACATCTCCTTCACATTGAGGTTGCTAATTGAGAGGACCTGAGTTGTTCAACACTTTTGGTCAAAAGTGTAAATGTGGCAAAAGATATCACAGTGTTAAAGCATTGCATTTGGATCCTCATGCCTCCACTTGGGCTCAAAAACATGTATTATTACTCCCACTTTTTACAGAAATTTTGCAAGATTAAAAAAACTACTTCAGCCATGAGCCTTATCGTGAGTTGTATATCAAATTTTCAAGAAACTGCAGTCAGTTCTCCGTTTGACAAAAGAAAATGAAAAAAGAGTTGGATTATCAATTCACAGAGAAGACCAGCGTTGGATTCAAGGCAAAGTGTGACCACCATCTACGAGATAGATCTGGCCGGTCATATAAGACGAGTGCTCATCGCTCGCGAGAATGAGCACCAGAGTCAAGTCTGGAGATACTTGTCCGAAGCGGCGCAGTGGAACGATCTTGGCCGCTGCGTCGTGGACCCAGGCTTGATCGAGACCTTCAGTGATCTCCGATCGAAAGATCCCAGCTGCGAACTCGGATCTTAAACTTGCCAAGCTCCAAGGCCATGATCTACAAAAGGTTAGATCACGGAAGAAAGATCTGGGGCTGGTACCTGAGTCAAGCGATTGATCGCAGCCTTGGATGAACCGTATGCCGTCCCGCCGGGAAAAATGCCCCCGGATGATGCAAAGGAGGAGATATTGATGATCGAGCCGGGTTTCTTGGCAGCCACCATCCTCTTCGCGACAGCCTTGGAAACCAGCCATGTACCTCTCGTGTTCGTGTTAAAGGTTTTGTTCCAATCCTCTTCGTCCAACTCCAGAGGCGATTTTACAGGCCCTGTGAAGATAAAAGAAAAAAAACTACTATCACAAGAGAGTCAACGAATCTTCACGGAAAAAAAAAAAAAAACAAGCGACGCGAGGGAATTTGCAAGCAAAAAACAGAGACACAGAGAGAGAGAGAGAGAGTTGCCTCTAATGCCTGCATTGTTGATGAGCACGTCCACACCTCCAAAGAAACTCCACGCCCGATCAATGGCGGCATCGATGGATCTCTCGCTTGCGCTCACATCCAGCTCCACAGCGCGCGCATCGTCGCGCCCGATCTCCTCGCACACCGATGCCAGCAGCTGCGCCCTCCGCGCAGCGAGCACCACCCGATAAGATCCATGCCGTGCGAACGCGATCGCGAATTCCTTGCCCAGCCCGGACGATGCTCCCGTGACCAAGACCACTCTCTCCAACCTAGAGTTTGGCTGTTAAATGCAAATTTCTATTTACAACCATTTCCCCCCTCGTTAGAAACAAAGGCATCGCAAATATTTGTGAAGAAACGAATGGTCATTTCTCTGCGAGTTCGCCACCACTTTGCTTGTTTTTTTCTTTTTTTTTTCTTCGTGCCCCTGTAGATGCCTGAATGATCATACTTACAAGCAGCTATCTATCAGGAAGAATGAAAGAACAAGGGATGAGGAAGAAGAAGAACATCAAAGTAAAATAGAACAACGAGGAGAAGCGAGAAGAAGATCGGCGACGAGAGAAAGAAGCGAGAGGATATTAGAAGTGGATCTGCCGGCAATGGCTGGACGAGGCCTCCATGGGACAGTAGGGGCACTTGAAAGGCCGAGTGTTACCTTTGGCGAGCTTGACGATGGACTGCTTGCACAAGACATGCCCGCAGGGGAGCAGCATCGGCGGGTTCTCGGCGGAGCTCTGGTCCCGCGACACCGGGCACGCGAAGATGGAGTGGAACTGAAACTCCTTGTCCAGCTCGATCTCCACCGGGAGCTGCTTCATCGCCTGCCACTCGCCCTTCTTGTTGCTCATCACCGACGAGAGCTTGAGCAGCGTCGGGAGAGCCTGCGACCCCGCCGAGAGCGTTACGTGCAGCGGGCTCTCGTATCCCTGTCCCAGGAGTCCGCAACACTCTCGAGTAAACTCCAGCGCCACGCTCTCCCAGTGCGACGGCGCCAGCAGCTCCTTGTAAGGATTGGAGCCGACGTCGCGCGCGAAGTAGACCATGCACGCCATGAGCTTCTTGATCACTCCCAAATGATCCGGGAACTTGCCGAAGATCCTCCTCCCATACAGCAGCGCCTCCCATCTCCCGGCCTTGAGCAGCGTCTGGACGAACTCCAGCTGGTGGAGCTTAAACTCGAGCGAGGATCCCTTCTCTTTGAGCTCCTTGTGGTGTGACTTCGCCCACTCGATCGCCGGCTCCAAATTCTTGTTCCTCATGTGTTCCAGTATCTGATACATCTCGAAGAATGGCAGCTTGAGCGCGGCGGCACCCTCGCTCTCCTGGGCCTCGCCGACGAAGCAGTCGCCCAGCTCGAACATCCCCTGCCGGTAGAAGTGGAGGGCGATGATCTGGTTGACGAGCCTGTGATCGAAGTCCATGTCCCTGTACGCCTTGGAGAGATCCGCGCAAAATTGCTTGTCCATCACCTTTCCATACTTGCTGAGAGCCAAGTTCACCTCCTTCTGTGCCGACGAGAGCTGGTTCACGGCCGCCGTGAGCTTCGCCTGGAGCTCCGACAGCACCGCGCTGTGATCCACCACGTCGCCTTGATCCAGCTTGGACGCCGCCGCCTGGATCTCGTGCATGAACTTGTCGATCACATCCTCGGTCTTGGCGTACGAGAGCTTCTGCTTCTTTGTTACTCGATCGAATGCGTCTTGCATCGACGCGAGATCCATTTTTGCTTCTCTTCTTTCCCTGCCCTGTTCTTCCTTCTATCCAATCCGCGATTCGATAGCGCCGGGGAGCTAAAGAATCCCTGGAAGCCAATCTTCTTCCCCTACCTAGAGAGAATCGAAATTAGGCTCTGCGGAGGCGCGGCGTCGCAATCCAGGGAAGCGATCCACTCACCCGTCCACGCGTCTCGCCGCCACCGCCATCTCGCGCCCCCGCTGCCCTATCGCGCCCACGCCAGGAACCCTAATTGCCCCACAAAACAAAGTCAGCCGCTCGACGATGGACGGTCCAAAACGCCGCGACACATGGTCATAAATTGGAGATTCGGACGACCCAGCCCAGTCCGTACTAAAAGAAGGTTCTTTTCTTTTCGAGAAGGAACAAAGATTTTAAGCAAAACTTTGATCCTGCTACAAAGATATAGCTGCTTGTTAGTTTGTATTTACTCTAGCCTTGGACTTCTCAGAGTTCCCTGATCAATCGATCGCTAAAAAAAACGAAGCAAAAGAAAAACCTGCGTGAGATTGAGAGAACTTAGTCTAGAAGTTACTTGCAGCCTGTACTCAATACAGTGCTCCACGCTCCAAGCTCAGGAGCGAAGCTCTCTCCCTCCAACGTCGTGGCGAAGCTCTCTCCCTAGCTCGGCGTCGAGGCAGCCATAGCCAGGCCGCCACCGTTGTGCTCTTTGTCCTGCCGAGTAGCTTGCAACACCAGCTCTTGAAAGCGTCGCTCAAGGCACGGAAAGTCTTCCTACTAACCGATCCAGATCTTAAACACCGTCACCACCACTGCGCTCAGTGAGAACAGAACCAAAGTTAGCAGCACGAAGAAATGTTTCAAGCACGTTCATTGTGATGTGGCAATTGGCAAGTGACGTGCCATATCACTTGCCACATAGGCTCGCTTTCCACTTAATCATATTCTTTAATCTTCTTGTTTTTAGGGTTCTTGGCCTGATATGAATCAATGCTTGCTGTCACATCCTGCAAAGCAACCACGCCCTGCTTGAAGCGCCAAAGCCACTTTCTTGCGGCAAAGACCCCTGGAGTTGAATTTCTGGCTGGAGCATCTGGAGACTCCTGTTAGTCCTTATTCAAGCTGAAAAATGCTTTGGTGGTTTGGAGTACATGGAAACGTACTCACCAGTTGTGGAATGACCTCTGCCCGAGTAATCCTTGCATTAAGTATTAGAGCTACATCAAATGGATGTCAGCACAGCGTTCCTGGATGGCAAAGCTGACCGAGGATGTTTATGTTGCTCAACCGCCTGGCTACATCAAACCTGGTGAGGAACACCTTGTTTGTAAGCTGAATCGCGCCCTGTAAGGGCTCAAGCAGTCCTCACATGTTTGGTTTGAGCACATCGATGCTTTCTTCGAAAGCATTGGCTGTATTCCACTGGCTGTTGAAGGGAACGTGTTTGCTTGGATCGTGGCATTGTACGTGGACGACTGTGTGCTTGGAAGTATTGCCCGATAGAGGATATGACTGCTAATATCCTCACCAAAGCACTGCATTGCGGTCTGTTTGAATGCCACCAAACTGCTCTTGGAGTGCGCTCTCCATCGCTGAGTGGGAGGGGCAGTTCATCCTTCACAGCTGATCAAGCCAAAGTGGGAAAGTCGAGTCTCGATCAGCACACCACGCGGCATGTCCACGTGGAGAGTCGCATCTAGTGGTGTCCCTTGAGTCATGTAAACATTTGAACACAATGACAGCGCTACCAATGTGGTAGAAGATTAGTGTGCCTCTTGACTAAAACTAAATGGAGAGGTAATATGTAATATGATTAAAAGAAAGTTTCTAATAATGGTGTAAGAATTGATAATATATAGAACATTCCATCCAGCTTATTAGGGAGCTTAAATTATTTTTTGGTCTATAGCATTTTAGTTTTAGCTAAAACATCCTAATTAAAATAATTGTTCTATAGTGGGGCAAACAACTTGATGTATATATTGATTGTGCTATAGCACAAAGAAATTTAGGGTGAAATTGAATTGGAGACATTCTTCTAAATCATGATAAACATTGATCAAATATGAAGTTATGGTGATGATTCTAGGAAGAAGCCTAAGAGTCAATACACAACAAACATATTCCTCCAAAAACTTGTATCATGGATAATGAGTACACCATTACTTTTAAATTGAAAATTGATTTCAAGTTATTTATTTAAATATAATCTATTGTTTGGATTTACTCAAATTTTAATCAATCAATATTATGGTTCTCATTTTTTGATAGTTGAATTTTTTTTTAATATAGTGTAAAAATTAATAGACTGTTAGATTTATTGAAATATATAACACAAAAAGTTTTAAAAAATATTAAAGAGTATTTAATAAGAGAACAAGTATATACATAAATAAAATTGAAATATTCTTAATTTAAATTTATTTTTCTAACTATATAAATTTTATCTTAGATATACTTAGTAATAAGTGAGATAAATTGAAATTAATAAATTCTTAATATTAAAAGTTAATTTAAAATTTGAAAAATTTAATTATAGCTTTAAACAATAAAAAACTAAGAAGATAAGGGTTTTGTATTATTTTTAAAAGTTTTATTTCCAAGTTATGATCTGGATTTATCATATGTTTCACAAAATAAAATATAAAGGTTTTCATGATAGCAAATATGCTATATAGGTTTTATCAATGTATGATGGCTCTACTAACATCATATTAAATCTCATGGATAAAGACATCCACAACATATTACTTGGGGTAAAGTTTATTGTATTGAAAATTTCTGATATAAAGAAAAAATTAAACATGTATTGTATATAAGTTATTTCTCTTAACAGAGAAAATATATTATAACATTATATTAAGAATTTAATATGTTTATATACTTAATTTTATAAGTATAGCATTTAAATTTGATAGAAAATATTATTTTTATATCAAAATTAATGTTTTCATATTTTTAGTGTGTTTTGTAATTTCCATTACACTAATTATACTTTAATTGCATCAAGAACACTTTTATTTTTTATAATTTAAAAATTTACTACTTTATTTGTGATTGTGAGTATATGGAATTTGCATCTTATATGATGCATTTATTTATTTTAGGGACAATTGTAAATTTTTCTATAAATACATTAATAAATTTGTATGAGTATAATTATCTTTTACTCTTAAAATAATATTACAAAATGCTCTTTAAAGTTGAAATTCCTAACTTTTTTCCTTAACTACATTTCTTTCACATAAAGCTTTATTGCAAATACTAAATAATAAAAATGACACTAATGTTCATTCCTAGAAAATAAAAAGTTTAAGATGAATTACATTCAGATTAAGAAAATCTAGATAATAGTTTTATTTTTTGACTTAAATAAATATTTTGTTCAGAAAAATATTTTATTTTTTGGATTACTTTTAATTATGAACTATATGATGATGTGAATATTGAACAATCATTTTACTTAAAAAAATATTTAAATCTTTTTTTAAAATATTAATACCATATTTAGTACAAGACAACTTTAATGACTTAGTAAATAATATAATAGGTTAATATTTCTCAATAATATGCTAGAATAATAATTTAGAGTTTACTTTGATATACCAAAAAATTAAATACTAAAAGAGAGGAAAACATTGGGTAAAATAATTTATAATTTTTCTAGAAAACTTTATAAGTTAAGAATATATATTAAGTTTTTCTTATAATTGATGAACACTTAAGAAGTTTATTTAGGATAAAAATAGCTTATATTTTACCAATATAACCATGATATTTTACCTATCTAACTATAGTAGGCCAAAAGATTTACAATTATCATTTTTCTTAATTAAAATCTATGAAGTCCAAGTGTTAGTGTAATGAGATTTTGATAGTTATTGGAGTGGTTTCAATTTGAATCACTTTCTCTTGTATATAAGCTAAGTTTTAATATGCACATTTCTATATTCTATTTACATATTCCATGCACTCACATTAGTGGAAATAAGAGGCAACTTTAATTGTCCTTAAGAAGTTTAAATTTGGGATTTTGGTTTATATTTAACTTTTGCATAATTTAGATCTCCCTTTCTTTATAGCTTTTTTAATTTCTTTTTTTTTTTTTTGCTTTTTCCTTTTCATTCATCTTTATAGTAGAGTAGCAAAGTCTTCTCCTTTGACTCTAGAGTAGTAGTTAGTGTAGTTTCTTGATGATATACAATTGCAATTGAACAATTAAACTCAATTGATGGCATTATTCACGGCACATATTATAGCTTCTCTTACTCTTATTGCCAATCCTCATGTTTCTCTATAATTCTTTTTTGAGAATTTTGGGGATGATGTGTACTATTGATTTAATCATTTCATGATGATTGCCATATATCATTTTTGTGATAATGCTTGGCATTTATATAAGTTTCTGATGTGTCTCCAAAGGACGGCATTGCAATGTTCTACGTGTTTAAAGATGTCCAGAAAAATGCTCCAATCCACACAAGTGGCTACACTCAAACTATTTTACCATACTAACGATTGAGATGATGCTTTCCAACAATTATATCATCTTTGTCAATGATTATTTAAGTTGGTGATGCAATTTGGTATTTGTTTCTAATTTCATGCGGAGCCAATTATGTTGGAATAAATTAAGTTGGGAATGTTGTGACTAACACTTTGTTAAGATTTTGAAATCTTGTACATGCATTTACTCTAGTAGCCTTTGATGATACTCTTCACTTAGTATAATATTATAAAATGTTGCCTCTTCCACTTCTCGTTGCATGTTCTTTAGCTCCACTTATTATGGGAAATAGTTCTGTTCTAATAAAGGTTGATGTTGCTACTACTCAAGTTTAAAGACAAGGGTGAGGATATAGTCATCGTTCTGATGTTCATTATTAGGCATATGATGAAGTTGATCACACATTATTGACATTATCGGCCATTTTCTAGGTGGAGACCTTGGCATTAACAATGTCTCGTTGGTGATGCTACAATAAAAGGTTTAGACATTGAGATGTGTCTATAAAATGAGGAGTCACATGAGTAATGGATAGTCCTTGTGAAAATAAGTCAATGACTCCTCCATCATTTTCTCGGGAGTATCATCAAGGGGTTTACTTAGTATCAATTCATCAAATGTTTACTTTCTAAGCTTGTTTTTATAACAAGAGATCTCATATTATCCTTTTCATGTTGGTTGATATAAATTTAAGTTTATCTTCTATTGCTTAGTCTATTATCACATGCTACCATCTATATTTGTATCATATAGTAGAATTAATTTTCATTCTTTATAGCAATAATT